AGAAGATTGCTTGAGTCCAGGAGATTGAGACCGGACTAGGCAACAGAGTGAGACCCCATTTCTACAAAGATTTGTTTTAAGTGGGCCAGACGTAGTTGTGCACAACTGTAGTCCTAGCTACTGTAGAAGATGAGACGGGAGGAATCACTTGAGCCCTGGAGTTCAAGGTTATAGTGAGCAATGATGATACTACACTCAAGCCTGGTGTATCTCTTTAAAAACAAAAAACAAAAAGAAAACCTCAAAAGTTCACCCTAAATTGTTAAGGTAGTGAATAAATCAATTTATACATCAATAATTTTCACTTTTCATTTTGTTAATTTTGTATTATTAGAATGCTTTAAGGAACATATACTACTTTTGTAATTTCTTCGCTTTTTTTTTTTTTTTTTTCTTTTTTTTTGAGACAGAGTCTTGCTCTGTCGCCCAGGCTGGAGTGCAGTGGCGCAATCTCGGCTCACTGCAAGCTCCGCCTCCCGGGTTCACGCCATTCTCCTGCCTCAGCCTCCTGAGTAGATGGGACTACAGGCGCCCGCCACCGCGCCCGGCTAATTTTTTGTATTTTTAGTAGAAACGGGGTTTCACCGTGGTCTCGATCTCCTGACCTTGTGATCCGCCCGCCTCGGCCTCCCAAAGTGCTGGGATTACAGGCGTGAGCCACCGCGCCCGGCCCGCTTTCTTTTTTTAAAAATTACCTATGCTAGGCCAGGCACAGTGGCTCATGCTTGTAATCCCAGCACTTTGGGAGGCCAAGGCGGGTGGATCATTTCGGGTCAGGAGTTCAAGACCAGCCTGGACAACAGGGTGAAACCCAATCTCTACTAAAAATACAAAAATTAGCTGGGTGTGGTGGCGGGTGCCTATAATCCCAGCTGCTCGGGAGGCTGAGGCAGGAGAATCGCTTAAACCTGGGTGGGGGAGGTTGCAGTGAGCCAAGATCACGCCATTGCACTCCAGCCTGGGCATCACAGCAAGACTCCATCTCAAAAAAAAAAAAAAAAAAAAAATTACCTATGCTGGTCTCCACTTAACATAGCTGAGATTAACTTATAATGAATTTTAGAAATTCTTAAATCTTAAGATTAAAAGTAAATTCTTACACATCTTAAGAAAAAGAACATCAATAATAATAAAAACACGTTCATTTAGATAAAGAACTTCGTACATACATGATTACATTTATAGATCTCATTGAAAATACAAGCTTAATAGAAGCATTCTCTTTGAAAACTAGCACAAGGTTGCCCTCTCTCACCACTCATATTCAACATAGTAACAGGAAGTACTCACCAGGGCAATCAGACAGGAGAAAGAAATAAAGGGTATTCAAATAGGAAGAGAGGAAGTCAAATTGTCCTGTTTGGAGATGACATGATTGTGTATTTAGAAAACCCCATCATCTCAGCCCAAAAACTCCTTAAGCTGATAAGCAACTTCAGCAAAGTCTCAGGATACAAAATCAATGTGCAAAACACCAATAACAGACAAACACAGAGCCAAATCATGAGGGAACTCCCATTCACAATTGCTACACCAATAATAGACAAACAGAGAGCCAAATCATGAGGGAACTCCCATTCACAATTGCTACAAAGAAAATAAAATACCTAGGAATACAACTTACAAAGGAGGTGAAGGACCTCTTCAAGGAGAACTGCAAACCACTGCTCAAGGAAACAAGAGAGGACACAAACAAATGGAAAAACATTCCATGCTCATGGATAGGAAGAATCAATATCATGAAAATGGCCATACTGCCCAAAGCAATTTATAGATTCATTGCTATTACCATCAAGCTACCATTGACTTTCTTCACAGAATTAGAAAAACTACTTTAAATTTCGTATGGAACCAAAAAAGAACCCATATAGCCAAGACAATCCTAAGGAAAAAGAACAAAGCTGCAGGCATCAAGCTACCTGACTTCAAACTATACAAAAATGCTACGGTAACCAAAACGCCATGGTACTGGTACCAAAACAGATATATAGACCAATGGAACAGAACAGAGACCTCAGAAATAATACCACACATCTACAACCATCTGATCTTTGACGAACCTGACAAAAACAAGCAACGGGGAAAGGATACCCTATTTAATAAATGGTGCTGGCTAGCCATATTGAGAAAACAGAAACTGGACCCCTTCCTTACACCTTATATAAAAATTAACTCAAGATGGACTAATGACTTCAATTGAAAACCTAAAACTGGGAGAAGAGAGACAGACCCTCTCATATTATTTTATACTCAGAAAAGTGAAAAAAAAGGCGAAACAAAAGGCAGGTAGCCCGGGGCCTAGGAACCAGACCTGAAACCAGGCCTGGGCCTGCCTGACCTAAGCCTGGTAGTTAAAATTCCACCCCTGACCTAGCAACTGATGTTATCTATATATTCCAGACATTGGATGGAAGGATATTGTTCTGTTTCACCCTGCCCACCAGTTCTTGCAGCCCCTGTCACATACCCCCTGGCTTGTTCAATCGATCACGACCCTCTCATGCGGACCCCCTTACAGTTGTGAGCCCTTAAAAGGGATAGAAGTTGGGCACCTGACAAGCTCAGATTTTAAGATGCTAGTCTGCCAACGTTTCCAGCTGATAAAAGCCACTCCCTTCACTATCTCGGTGTGTGAGGGGTTTTGTCTGCGGCTCGTCCTGCTACAAAACCATAAAATCTCTAGAAGAAAACCTAGGCAATACCATTCAGGACATAGGCACGGGCAAAGACTTCATGACTAGGTCACCAAAAAGCAATTCTAACAAAAGCCAAAATCAACAAATGGGATCTAATTAAAGAGCTTCTGCACAGCAAAAGAAACTATCATCAGAGTGAACAGGCAACGTGCAAAATGGGAGAAAATTTTTGCAATCTGTCCATCTGACAAAGGGCTAATCTCCGGAATCTATAAGGAACTTAAACAAATTTACAAGAAAAAAACAAACAGCCCCATCAAAAAGTGGGTGAAGGATATGAACAGACTCTTCTCAAAAGAAGACATTTATGCAGCCAACAAACATATGAAAAAATGCTCATCATCACCTGTCATTAGAGAAATGCAAATCAAAACTACAATGAGATACTATCTCATGCCAATTAGAATGGTGCTCATTAAAAAGTCAGGAAACAACAGATCCTGGCAACGCTGTGGAGAAACAGGAACGCTTTTATACTGTTGGTGGGAGTGTAAATTAGTTCAACCATTATGGAAGACAGTGTGGCGATTCCTCAAGGATCTAGAACCAGAAATGCCATTTGACCCAGCAATCCCATTACTAGGTATATACCCAAAGGATTATAAATCATTCTACTATAAAGACACATGCACGGCCGGACACAGTGACTCACACCTGTAATCCCAGCACTTTGGGAGGCTGAGGGGGGGTGGATCACGAGGTCAGGAGATCGAGACCATCCTGGCTAACACGGTGAAACCCCATCTCTACTAAAACTACAAAAAAAAAAAAAAAAAAAATTAGCCAGGCACGGTGGCAGGCACCTGTAGTCCCAGCTACTCAGGAGGCTGAGGCAGGATAATGGTGTGCACCTGGGAGGCGGGCCTTGCAGTGAGCGGAGACTGTGCCACTGTACTCCAGCCTGGGCAACAGAGCAAGACTCCGTCTAAAAAAAAAAAAAAGATACATGCACACGTATGTTTATTGCAGCACTGTTCAAAATAGCAAAGACTTGGAACCAACCCAAATGTACATCAGTGATAGACTGGATAAAGAAAATATGAGACATATATACCACGGAATACTATGCAGTCATAAAAAATGAGTTCGGCTGGGTGCAGTGGCTCATGCCTGTAATTCCAGCACTTTAGAAGGCCGAGGCGGGCAGATCACGAGGTCAAGAGATCGAAACCATCCTGGCCAAAATGGCGAAACCCTGTTTCTACTAAAAATACAAAAATTAGCTGGGCGTGGTGGTGCACTCCCATAGCTTCAGCTACTCAGGAGGCTGAGGCAGTAGAATTGCTTGAGCCTGGGAGGTGGAGGTTGCAGTGAGCCAAGATCGCACCATTGCACTCCAGCCTGGGCAACAGAGTCAGACTCCATCTCCAAAAAAAAAAAAAAAAAAAAAAATTAGTTTATGTGCTTTGTAGGGACATGGATAAAGCTGAAAGCCATCATTCTCATCAAACTAACATAGGAACAGAAAACCAAACATCACATGTTCTCACTCATAAGTAGAAGTTGAACAACAAGAACACATGGACACAGGGAGGGGAACATCACACACTGGGGCCTGTCTGGGGGTGGGGGACAAGAGGAGGGAGAGTATTAGAACAAATACCTAATGCATGTGGGGCTTAAAACCTAGATGACGGGTTGACAGGTGCAGCAAACCACCATGGCACATGTATATCTATGTAACAAACCTGTACGTTCAGCACATGTATCCCAGAACTTAAATTAAAAAAAAAAAAAAAGAAAATACAAACTTAAGATTAGGGTAAAAAGTAATACCAATTCTTAGCAACTTCAAAAAACTTTTTAACTATATGAATAATAGCTTCATAACAAACTATTCCCTTAACACCATTATTAATGCAAATTTGCTTAGTGGATTAAACAAACATCTGTGTCACACCTGCCATCCTCTCAAACAGCATCTACCTTCTCTAAAACCCCAATTTGATCTGAGCCATCCCAATTCTCAACTACTCCTCCACACTGCCTGAGATGAAAAATGGCTGGGATTCAATGACCGCCGAAATATATCAAACCAATCTAATTGCAGGGTAACTGCAGGGCTTTCTGTCTGAGGTAGTTTAACTTGGTTCACATATCTACAAATACTATTGTAAACACTCTCCCCAATTATTTTATACACACTGAGGCTGGCACCCCATGATATTACATATGCTAAATTCCTAGAAAAACAAACTTCAAGTAGAAAATATTTCTAAAACATTCACTTTTGTTTAAAAGGAAATTACTTTTCTGTCCTGGTAAAAAGACATAAAATGACAAAAATACAGTAAACGTTAAGTGTTAGGTTAAAAAATCATTATCCATGATTTATTTTTAAATACATCTATGTTTTTGCTAGATTAAAGTTAAAATAATTACAATGGAACTTTAAGCAATTATTACGGTTCAACTTCATGAAGTATTTGTTTTCTTTTTGTTGAGATGGAGTCTCGCTCGGTCGCCCAGGCTGGAGTGCAGCAGCGTGATCTCAACTCAGTGCCACCTCCGTCTCCCAGGTTCAAGTAATTCTCCTGCCTCAGCCGCCCGAGCAGCTGGGATTACATGTGCACACCACCAAGCCCGGCTGATTTTCATATTTTTAGTAGAGACAGGGTTTCACCATGTTGGTCAGGCAGGTCTCGAACTCCCGACCTCGTGATCCACCTGCCTCGGCCTCCCAAAGTGCTGGGATTACAGGAGTGAGCCACCGCGCCTGGCCTAACTCAATGTAGTATTAACTTTTCTTCTCTTCTGATTCTTGTACCAACTGCACCTTTAATTCCTTCTGATCTTTGGTATACTGTTCAAATACTGGTTGAAAAATATATACTCCTCCAGCAATTCCAAGGATAGTGGTAAAAAGCAGGTGTGAAAGTGTCAATCTCCTAAACATTGTTGCAACAAATACAGCACAAGGAAAAGGTGGTTTCGGAAGCCACACTCCACATCCAGGAAATCTCTTCAAATCTGTGTACAAAAATGGAAAGCAAAGCCATCACTTAGCACAATGTCCTTTTAAAAGATTTTACGTCACTACTTTGCACTGGAGTGAACAATATTTTTATGTTACTAATTGAAACAAGAATATAAATACATAAGGAGTACAGGAAACGAATTAGGGAAGGGTATAAGACAAAGCCAAAACCTCTTCTATTACATAATGTTCTCAATGGTTTTAAACGCATATATATATATTTTTTTTTTCTTTTTTTTTTTTTTTGAGACGGAGTCTCGCTCTGTCGCCCAGGCTGTAGTACAGTGGCGCGATCTCGACTCACTGCAAGCTCTGCCTCCCCAGTTCACGCCATTCTTCTGCCTCAGCCTCCCGAGTACCTGGGACTACAGGCGCCTACCACCACACCCTGCTAATTTTTAGTAGAGAGGGGGTTTCACCGTGTTAGCCAGGATGGTCTCAATCTCCTGACCTCTGATCCACTCCCCTTGGCCTCCCAAAGTGTTGGGATTATAGGCATGAGCCACTGCGCCCGGCCTAAATGCATCATTTTTAAAATGGCAATAAAAGAAAGGGCCAAAAAAATTGACAGTGACTGCCCTTTGTTCTCGTCTGTCTGTGTGTGTGTGTGTGTGTGTGTTTTAGGAGTCTTGCTCTCTTGCCCAGGCTGCAGTGCAGTGGCACGATCTCAGCTCACTGCAAGCTCCGCCTCCCAGGTTCACGCCATTCTCCTGCCTCAGCCTCCCAAGTAGCTGGGACTACAGACGCCCGCCACCACGCCCGGCCAATTTTTTGTATTTTTAGTAGAGACGGGGTTTCACTGTGTTAGCCAGGATGGTCTCCATCTCCTGACCTCGTGATCCGCCCACCTTGGCCTCCCAAAGTGCTGGGAATACAGGCGAGAGCCACCGCACCCGGCCTGGTTTTACTTTTAACTAGAGGACAAAAAACAAAAAGAAAGTAACAACAACAACAAAAACAAAAACACAGGAACCACTGAGCATGTTTCCACATTTATACAAGAAGCTAAGTCATCCCGACCCTGTCCACCTCGTTCAACGGGCATTTTTTCTGAGAGCAACGAACTTAAAATGTTACACCAACACTGACGTTTACGATTATCATTACTTTTTTTTTTCCAGCCAGGATGGTCTCGATCTCCTGACCCCGTGATCCGCCCGCCTCGGCCTCCCAAAGTGCTGGGATTACAGGCGTGAGCCACCATGCCCGGCCTATCATTACCATTTTTAATAACCACTCAGGCACCTCCGACTGTTCTGCGCCTGCTCCACGTCGCTAAACTCGCTACCGCCTGCTCCCCTCCAGAGATGAGACCGGGCTCCTTCTGGCAGTTTTCGGACCCCAAGCACAGAGACCGCCAAGCCAAAGGCGAATAGTAATATACCTCGGTTCGGAAACAGCGAAAGAAAACCGCCCACGAGCCACCTCTTGGGGTGGTAGAGACAAAGTTGCCAGTTCCCGGTTACTTCCGGGCTTGGGAGCGACGGCTGCTCGCAAAAGCCAAACTTAGTGGATGGACGAGCAGCACGCTCCTGCAGCTTTCTTCCGCTTCAGGAAGGTGGCGGCCGGGGATGAGGAGGCCTTCTAAGCAAGTGCGGAATGGAGCGGGGACGCGAAGATGCCAGCCTCACTTTGCGTGGTCTCCAGAACCGCTCCCACGAGAAGATAAAGCTGCGAAAGAGAAAGTCTACCTTGTACTTCAGCACCCAGGAAAAGAACGTCAGGCGCCGCGGCGGTGAGTGAGGGGGTGCTGTCTGGAGAGCTCCTGCCCCATCTGAAAGGAGCCCCCGTATATTTCACTACCAGCCAGTTGCCCGTTGAGCTCTGTGTTGCCAGATCTTAACGAGTTTTGAAATGCTGGAAACACAGATTTTAATATAAATTCTGATTTCTAAATGTTGGCAACTAAATTCAAATTTTAAAAGAATACTCTGTATTTGGCCGACAGACTGTCCATTTGTGGTCAAGAGCAGGACTTTGGAGACAGCAGACAGATCCGGGTTTGAATCCTGATAAGTCATTTACAGCTTTATTTGGACAAGGCAGTTTAATTTCTGGACCTCAATTTGCTCGTCTGTAAAATGGGGCTAATAATACCTATCCCATAGCACTGTGTGGAGGATTAAGTGAGATGCATGTAAAGAAATTAACACAGTGCCTGGCATATATAATAATAAGCATCAATGTATTTTAAAAGGTACAGAGGACCATTTTATATTGCACATATACAAAGGGTTGCTTCCCAAATTAGTAATTTATTAGCTGTTTTTTTCATTAGATACACACGTAGTATGGCCTAATTAATTAGCCTAAGGCCTTAGTTAACCCACTCTTTAATATTTTAATTAATATTTTAATATTAATATTATATTATTTAATTTTTAATATTTTAATATTTAATATTTTAAATATTTATATTATTTTAATATTATTATCTTTATACAGTAAGTTGCAAGAAAAGTTGGGTAAGCTAAAAGAGGGACAGTCACCCAGTGATGAGGCTGTGGTCCTTGTATAACCTTCCCTAGGTTGGCTTTGAGAATGGTGTGGAGGGGCCAGAGGTCGCTACTGTGCCTTACAAGGGGCCAACCAGAGCAGCAGATTTTACGTTCTGCAAGTGTAACTGCCTAACTTTTGTGCCACTATTACCTGTTTTGTTCTGTTTTTCAGATCTTCTTGGAGAGAATATTCATCTGGTCTTGTTCACCATAGCTTTACGAATATTAAACTGCTTTTTGGTACAAACAAGCTTTGTTCCAGATGAATACTGGCAGTCTCTTGAAGTTGCACATCACATGGTTTTCAAATATCCTTTGTGGTTTCTTGTGTATTCATCTTGGAAATTGTGTTCAGTTTCTTTTAGAGTAGTCCGCCCTGCTCTCTTGTCTTCAGGAGATAGTTTCCAAGATCCCTAGTGGATGCCTGAAACTATAGACAGTACCAAACTCTGTATATATTGTTTTTATGTATGTAAAAAAAATACACACATTTATAAAGTTTATATAAATTAGGTACAGTAAGAGATTAACAGTATTACAATATAATAAGTTTAACACAATACTATAATAAAAGTTATGTGAACATGGTCTCTCTCTCAAAATATCTTCATATTTTCTGACAGTGGTTGACTATGGGCAACTGAAACCATGGAAAGTGAAACCACAGATAAGGGGGGACTACTATACATATTTTCAGTTTTCTGTATTTTCCCCAAGTAATTTTAACTCATCAAAGTACGCCATTATTTTATACTAATATTTCTCCTGTATCTTTCCTTTATGTTAATATACTTGACACAGCCGTTAGCATACATTCCCATAGTTCTTAGCACTTGGAGGATACCGAGAAAGTAAAAAACACATTACTGCCTTGAAGAAGTTAAGAGTTTAGTTGGCCAATTGAATTTTTAATGCAAATATCCAGTATAAAATGCTGTTTTAAGACTGCCACAAAATAAAATACTGGTTTACAAATGGAAATGAAAATAGATTTGCCAAGTGAAGTGGGGTGCACGTAGAGGCAGGAGGACCACTTGAGCCCAAGTTTGAGATCAGCCTGGGCAAGACAGTGAGACCCCATCTTAAAAAAAAAAAGGAAACAGGTTTCAATATTATTTGACATTTACTCCTTAATGTTACTAATTATGGTTATTTGACTTGGGAATGGACAGAGAGATTGAGGAGTTACACTTATCCCTTAATCTTTGCAAGCATTTACAAGATTCTTCATCTTTTAGGGAAAGATAGTGTTCAGTTACTGGTAAGTTCAAATAAAAGTAACCAAAATACTTATTAAAAGTAGATTTATTCTACCTTTTTCAAAGCTTAATATATATTAACTAAATGATATTGGGGCCATGGAATTTGTTTTTAAAAGGCTACTGTTGCTAAAGTCCAGCCATATCTGGGAAGCCCATGATACTACAGACATACTGTGATGTGTAACTCTTTAGTTTGTGCTGCAATACAAGACTGAGCATGAAAATGTCCTGATGCGAGGAATCCTGTTATGATGTGCAGATTTTCAAAATGACTATGTTATGTATTATTTGGACATTAGAAGTATACTTCTTTCTTTTTTTTTTTTTTTTTTTTTTTTGAGACGGAGTCTCGCTCTGTCGCCCAGGCTGGAGTGCAGTGGCCTGATCTCAGCTCACTGCAAGCTCCGCCTCCCCGGTGTACGCCATTCTCCGGCCTCAGCCTCCCGAGTAGCTGGGACTACAGGCGCTGCCACCTCGCCCGGCTGTTTTTTGTATTTCTTAGTAGAGACGGGGTTTCACCGTGTTAGCCAGGATGGTCTCTATCTCCTGACCTCGTGATCCGCCCATCTCGGTCTCCCAAAGTGCTGGGATTACAGGCTTGAGCCACCGCGCCCGGCCTACTTCTTTCTTTTTTTGAGGGGGAATGGAGTTTCGTTCTTGTTGCCCAGGCTGGAGTGCAATGGTGTGATCTGCCCGTGTGGTGGCTCACGCCTGTAATCCCAGCACTTTAGGAGGCCAACGTGGGCAGATCACCTGAGGTTGGGAGTTGGAGACCAGCCTGACCAACACACAGAAACCCCTTCTCTACTAAAAATACAAAATGAACTGGGCGTGGTGGCACACATGCCTGTAATCCCAGCTACTCCTGAGGCTGAGGCAGGAGAATCGCTTGAACCTGGGAGGCAGAGGTTGCGGTGAGCCGAGATTGCACCATTGCACTCCATCCTGGGCAACAAGAGCGAAACTCCATCCCCACCCTACCCCCCCACAAAAAAGTATCACTGGAGAGCAGCATTGTATTTTGTGTTTTTTACCTTGTAAGTAGAAGACCACGTTATATGATTTTATGAAGTCTGTATACATAGAAACCCACTCAGGATTTAGTGTTGAAATTAAAACTTTAAAAAATTTAATTTGACAAAAATTTAGTGATATGCATAATCATTGTGCTATATAGTAACTAGGATCAACAGTAAGTAGGATTGTAATTCCTAAGTTATCAATTGCTGGGGTCAGTTGCCAGGAGATGGTACAAGGGCAGGACTAATGGTGCGAAAGTTTCTGTAGCCTCACTCCCATGATCTTTTAAGCTATCATCAGATGAGACTCCGAGTTTGGGGTCTCCCCGATTTCTGTCAGTGGGGGTTAATGGCTCAGCATTCCAAAGGCAGTCCAAATCCTGAGGTGTTTTGTGTAGCTTAGAAAGACACAGGTTCTGGGGTATTTGTTTTAAGGTAGGGTTGTACTCTCCCAGTTGCAATAATTGCTTCCCCATTATTGAGAAATTAGGGAAATTAAACCACTGAAACTGATGCTTCAAATGGGAAGATGATAGGGAAGAAGAATTCAGAGTGGTAGCAGAGTTTCTTCCATTAACACAGGTAGAATTTAGGAGCTGCGGCCTGACTTTTCTCCTCTTACAGTTATCTACTAGTTTATAGATTATGCAAGGTATCCATAAAGTCTGGAATCACAAGAAAATATACATAATCTCATCAATGACATTTTATATCCCAGGAAGTAGGTCAGATTACGAATGAAGTCTTCAAGATAGGAAAATTCCCTGCTCCTCCAAGACCTATCCACTGCACTCCATCTGTAGCTGACCCACCAGGTCATTTTGTGGTGTAAAGGAAGCCTCCCCTGTCCCGCTCCAGCCCCCCTAAAAGGAACTCATTGTCATATCTAGAACTTGACCATGCAAAGAGATTCGTTAGGATATGATCAGTCATTATTATTTTAAGCAAATTATATACATAATTTTGAAGCTGGAAGAGGTCAGAGAAGTAAAGTAAATAGACCAAGGTCACAGCATGTTAAAAGCAGAAGTAGAGCTAAATCCTAGGTCTATTACTCACAGCCCAGTGCTTTTCCCAGATAGCTCCTCTACAGACTGCATAAGGCTTATGCACAGCTGGGCATGGTGGCTCACACTTGTAATCTCAGCACTTTGGGAGGCTGAGGTGGGAGGATTGCTTGAGGCCAGGAGTTTGAGACCAGCCTGGGCAACATAGCAAAACTCTGTTTCTACAAAAAAAATTTTTTTAAAGGAGACATGGCTTAGAGCTGCACTGTCTACCAAGGTAGCCAGTAGTTTTATGTGGCTGTTGAAGACTTCAAATGTGGCTAGTCCGATTTGAGAAGTGCTAGAAATGTAAAATATGTACTGAATGTCAAAGGCCTAGTACAAAAAATAATATTTTTATAATTTTTTAATTGATTAAATGTTCAAATAATAATGCCTTAGATACAATGGGTTAGACAAGATGAAATTAATTTTACCTGTTTTGGGTTTTGGGGTCATTTCTGTTTTTGCTTTTTAATTTGCCAGCTATAGAATTTAAAATTACACATGTGGCTCATGTTATATGTCTTTTGGCCTGTGATGGCTTAGGACATGTGAAAGGAAAGAGGAAGAGGAGGGGAAACCTGAATGGGGAACCACAGTAAGGTTCGTTGGTTTTTGGTTTTTTTGAGATGGAGTCTCACACTGTCGCCCAGGCTGGAGTGCAGTGGCACGATCTTGGCTCACTGTAACCGCCACCTCCTGGCTTCAAGTGATTCTCCTGCCTCAGCCTCCCGAGTAGCTGGGATTACAGGTGCCTGCCACCACACCTGGTTAATTTTTGTATTTTTAGTAGAGGTGGGGTTTCACTGTGGCCAGGCTGGACTCAAATGATCCGCCTGCCTCTGCCTTCCAAAGTGTTGGAATTACAGGCATGAGCCATCAAGCTTGGCCAACAGTAAGGTCTTTGAATAGTCAGAAGACAACACAAGGGTATTTGGCTCCTGTAGCTTAGGGGAGGAGTCAGGAGCTTCAAGAACAGAAGTATGGAATGAGGAGCTGCCAACATAGGCCTAGTGTTCAAGTTACGCCTGGCATGTTTCTTCTCTTTACCTCACTCCACTGCTTTATTTTACTCTTTAGCAGGTCCTTACTGTAACATGGAAAATGATGGTATCAAAATCTGGAGAGACTGCTAATGACTGGGAGTTCAGAACTCTGCTTATTTTTATGCTAAAGTCTACTTTGTTTTAAATTCAAGATTTCTACTTCTGGCCGGGCGCGGTGGCTCAAGCCTGTAATCCCAGCACTTTGGGAGGCCGAGACGGGCGGATCACGAGGTCAGGAGATCGAGACCATCCTGGCTAACACGGTGAAACCCCGTCTCTACTAAAAAATACAAAAAACTAGCCGGGCGAGGTGGCGGGCGCCTGTAGTCCCAGCTACTCGGGAGGCTGAGGCAGGAGAATAGCGTAAACCCGGGAGGCGGAGCTTGCAGTGAGCTGAGATCCGGCCACTGCACTCCAGTCTGGGCGACAGAGCGAGACTCCGTCTCAAAAAAAAAAAAAAAAGATTTCTACTTCTACTTAACCACCCTAGAAAAACTTCTCTTTATTCAGGGTAAAAGTCTCTAGCTCTTAACCTCATAATCATAGATAGTATCCTGTAGATACTTTGTAATTTATTAATAATTCATCTTAAAATGTGGATCTCCAAACTGACACAATACTGAAGGCAGAGTAACTAGTTCAGAATATGGTGGGTTCATTAACTTACATTTCTCAGAGCGCAGGAATTCTTTTAGCTGTTTAATAGCTACCTCACACTGTTGGCTCATATTAAGTTTGTAGCCAAATTGACTTTTCATATGAACTGCTTTCAGGGGGCCTGGGAAGTAAGGATGAAGCTTATAGCTCCCTATGCAGAGTAAACAGAAGGTATGTACATGAGTGCCTTTTCCTGTATTTTACAGGGCACAGTTTATGTGGAACTAAGTACCGTGTACCTTTAACTTTCCAATTTTAGCATTTATTTACACACTGTGGACAAAAAGAACATAAAGCTAAAGTGCTAAAAGCCACTGACAACTCAAAGTAAAGCAGCTCCTATAATGTGGAGTTAATGAAGTTTGATTCAACAAAAATATGAATTAACAGCCGGCGCAGTGGATCACACCTGTAATTCCAGCACTTTGGGAGGGTGAGGTGGGTGGATCACCTGAGGTCAGGAGTTCGAGACTAGCTGGCCAACATGGTGAAACCCCATCTCTACTAAAAATACAAAAATTATCCAGGCGTGGTGGCGGGCACGTGTAATCCCAGCTACTTGGGAGGCTGAGGCAAGAGAATCACTTGAACTCGGGAGGTAGAGGTTGCCATAAGCCAAGATTGCACCATTGCACTCCAGCCTGGGTGACAGAGTGAGACTCTGTCTCACACACACACACACACACAAACACACACATACACACAAATACAAATTCACATACAGATTTTTAGAAACACATCTTTTGAACAAACCAAGATTAAATTGTGCTCTACCATCGTGTTATTTTGTTAGTGTTAACTATGACACCTTTTTTTTTTGGAACTCTGAGAGATGCTAGTGCATAGCATTAGCATTTCTAACTATAGTTGTAATACATTTATTCTTTATTTCAATTTTACACTTAAATTTACTCTTTAATGTCATCTGAATACCATGTTCATATAATTGCAGAATATTTGTGCTTTTTTAAAAGGTAATTTGTTGGTTGGGTGCAATGGCTCATGCCTGTAATCCTAGCACTTTGGGAGGCTGAGGCGGGCAGATCACGAGGTCAGGAGACCAGCCTGTGCAACGTGGTGAAACCTTGTCTCTATTAAAATACAAAAAATTAGCTGGGCGTGTGCCTATAGTCCCAGCTACGCTGAAGGCAGAGGCAGGAGGAGGTGGGAGGTGGAGCTTGCAGTGAATGGAGATCACACCACTGCATTCCACCCTGGGCGACAGAAAAAAATGTTATTTGTTATTATCTATATTGCAGGATAGAGAAGCCGTGTAACTTAGTAATTAAAGTCAGGCCAACCTGGGTTTATAATGCTGGATTTCATACTAACTAGCTGTGCAGCCTTGTGAAAATTACTTAACCTCTCTGTGCCTCAGTTTCCTCATCTATAAAACAGTCCTTTACTCAGAAGATTGTTAGGACTAAATGAGTTGGTACATATAAAGTACTTAGCATGATACATAGTACACGGTGCTGCAAATACTTGAATTTTTAAAAACCTGTTGTTGCTAATGAATATAAATATATTTTTAAAATAGAAACAACACAGTGAAATGATTGGCTAACTATTAATATTTACATTAAAATTAGGGCCAGGCACAGTGGCTCACGCTTGTAATCCCAACACTTTGGGAGGCCAAGGTGGGAGTATCACTTGAGGCAAGATTAGCTGAGTGTGGCAGTGCATGTCTGAAGTCCTAGATGCTCAGTAGACTGAGGCAGGAAAATCGCTTCACCCCAGAATTCAAGGCTGCAGCCTGGGTGACAGAGTGAGACCCTGTCAATCAATCAATCAATGTAATAAAAAATAATTTTAAAATATATGTATACTATATATGTGTATATATATGTGTATATATGTCATATATACACACACAGAGAATGAGACTGGTAAATATTTTATATTTTATATTTATATATAATATATATAGTTATATTTATAATATATTTTATATTTATATATAATATGTTTGTCTATATATGTCATATATACACATACAGAGAATGAGACTGGTAAATATTTTATATTTTATATTTATATATAATATATAGTTATATTTATATTTATTTATATATGTTTGTCTATATATGTGTATATATGTCATGTATACACACATACAGAGAATGAGACTGGTAAATATTTTATATTTTATATTTATATACAATATAGTTATATTTATAATATATTTTATATTTATATATAATATATGTGTGTGTATATATGTCATATATACACACACACAGAATGAGACGTAAATATTTTATATTTTATATTTATATATAATATATAGTTATATTTATAATATATTTTATATTTATATATAATATATGTGTGTCTATATATGTGTATATATGTCATATATACACACACATACAGAGAATGAGACTGGTAAAACTTAAAACTACATTGATTATTTTAATGAGAATATAATTTTATAGAAAAAGGGATGTAGTTTTGCAAAAGAATAGAAAAATATATTGTCTATTTTTGTACTAATAATGGCTTCCCATAGATAGTTGGATCAGCTTGTTGACTTTTATCATAATTCAGTGTGAACCAACAGATGTTTTTAACATCCTGTTCTTCTTTTTAACTGATGAAGATTTGGATTCCTAGACTTGCCCAAGCACTTCTGTCTGCTGTAGCAGACGTGAGACTTTACTCATTAATGAAGCAACTAGAAAATCAGGAAGTGGCAAGATGGGTGGTAAGTCCTAAATACTTTAGAAGCTGTATGCCAGTTATTTCATTCCTATAGGTATAAAGCACATGGAAACACTGATTCCCAGAACAATTTTAGAAGGTAATTCATACAACTTTATAGAGGTACGTCCATAATTAAGAACAGTAACATGCAAGTGGGGCACCTGCCATAGCTTTTCTTCTGATTAAGCCCTGGACAGGGATGCCCTCAAACCCTTTTAGAGTCTAAACCCTGGGAGACAGCCTTTGGAAGCCCCTTCACTCCTCAAAACTATCCTTGCCTCTCTTTCCATAGAATTGAGTAAGGATAGTTCTAAATTACCAACTACTTCACAAAGCATCTTAACTATTTACAACCCTTGTTCTGTTCCTCTAGCCAGCCTCTGTCTGAGGTGCAGCCCAAGAAATCTTTTTGCACTGAAACTCTTTCACTTCCGAATGAGATGTTGGAAGTATTAGGTTGGTGCAAAAGTAATTGTGGTTTGTGCCACAACAATATTAGGTTGGTGCAATTACTGGACTCATGTAAGGAAGACAGTATGGTATAGAAGACTATCTTTTGTCATTTAACTTATTTCAAGGTGGAGAGATAGATTCCTGACATCTCCCACTCAGATCTTGAATGGATTTTTCCCATTTAAACAATATCCTGATGAGGGATTGGATTCTGTAGTACTGTTGTTAATTCACTTGGCTCTTTGTAAAGTTAATAAGCTTATATGAACCTGTTTGAAAGTCTTACTACCTTTTTTATATTGTTTCTATTGGAAAATACATTCTAAATTCCAAGTAACCAATTTAGCAACATATCTCTGAAATATAATTTACTAATAAATTAGAAAGGGAACATTTCTGCAGGTATTCTATTCTTTTGCATTAAAAAGAAAGATTGGTTTAGCAACTAAGTCCTAGCTAATTGATTCAGCGATATGGTTAGCCTCATTATTTTGTGCTTATATTTTATGTGCATTGCTGAAGACTCAACATAAAATGGTAGGCAAAAGTCATGATGGCTTTGAAGTCCTTCCCCCAAAGATACAGCACTAGGGCCGGGCGTGGTGGCTGACGCCTATAATCCCAGCACTTTGGGAGGCCGAGGTGGGCAGATCACAAGGTCAGGAGTTCGAGACCAGCCTGGCCAACATAGTGAAACCCCGTCTCTACTAAAAATACAAAAATTACCCAGGGGTGGTGGTGGACACCTGTAATCCCAGCTGCTCGGGAGGCTGAGGCAGAATTGCTTGAACCCGGGAGGCAGAGGTTGCAGTGAGCTGATATCATGCCACTGCACTCTAGCCTGGGTGACAGAGCAAGATTCCGTCGTGGGAAAAAAAAAAAGAAAGAAAAAGATAAAGCACTAGGTTCTTCTAGTTTAGGAAAAACTTTTACTTTCATGAAAATTAGGAACATTTTTTAAAGGCTATGTTTGGCCAGATGGGAAGCTAGTGCCACATGCTTAACAATTGCCTCAATAAGTTTCTTTTAACACATTTGTTTTGTAGACTTAATGGTGCTCTGTGTGCATGTTCTTCCAAAAACTGATTCATTAATTTAGTCAATTTCCAAATTAAAATTTAATAATGTCTCCTGATTTTTTTTCCCTGTTTCCTGTTTTGTCTTAATTTTTCATTCCAAAACAGGGAAAACATTCCAAACAAGTGCAACATTCCAAACAAGGTCAATTTAAAAAGTCACAATACTTGTGTCAGTACTATAAGACAGTTTGAGAAATATTGATTGGAAGAATCTAGTTATGAATTTCAATCTTCTTAAACTCTACCAGAAAAGAATCTGTTTTTTATGTGTTTCATTAATGGAAAGTGGGATTGATTTTAAATCAAATGGAGTGCCATAAAAATGCACCTGAAAGTATAAACTTCTTAACATGAACAAATACAGATCTGCTATTATTTTAAACCTGTGTTTGATACAAGTTTCTAAAAACAATGTTTGGGCATGCCTACTTACTTTTAATATCATCTACCTTTTCATGTCCTTTTCACAATATTTAGACTTGCTTGCTATTTAGAAGATAATATGTACTAAGGTTTTCAATTTCCAACTTCATACATGTTTGCTCTATACTTTTTCTTAGTTTTTTTGCCAGTTGTGCTCCTGGTTCACATGGTATTGCTGTACCAGAACCCTTACAAACACCATGGAAACTGTTCTCACTATAATTGCTCTTTTCTACTATCCTTTGGAAGGTTCAAAGTCTATGAACAGGTAAGAAAAATTATTGTTAATAATTATGTACAAAACTTTACTTTTGAAAAATCTTAAATATCAACATATTGTAATGTCTAGTAGACCCCCTAATTTTCATGAGTCATGAGAACCACAATAATATATTCAGTTGATACATTATAGCAGAGAACAGATAATACTCAAACGGAATAATTAAGGAGAGTTTAACAATAGGAATATTTGCGAAGGTGTAGACAATATTTAGGAAAGCCAATAAGGAAACACCATCGTACCGCCAGCCTAGTTATAGCAGGAAGTCTGTAGTATCTCTAGGCCCCAAAGAGCAAGGAGAAGAAATGGTTACTGGAATTTGTAAAGAGCTATAATTATAAGAGAGGGCCCCAGCAGGGGACAGGCACAACCAGTCTTTAGCAATAATGAGGAGACAGCCAGGGGAATAAATAATCCTGACCCAACTCTTCTGCCTCTCAGCCAAAAACAGTCAGAAACCAGAAAGCAAGGTAGCCACTGATGCTGTCCATTCAGGTCAGCTTTCCTGCATGCAGACTAGATAAAGGCTGGAGGAGAAGAGATTTGGAAGGGCAGATAGGAAATACTTGGACTTTATTTGGCTTCCTTTAAACTGGGGAAACAAATACCAAGCAATGGGAACGTGAGTGAAGGCACATAACTGTCAGTGGGCTTCATTTACAGTTACAGTTACAGTATATTCAGGGCAGATTATCCAGAGTAGTTGTAGAGTGCGGTAGGATGCCTGTAAGAGGAGAAGAATAAGAGATGAGGCTGGAATGGGACTTTGAATTTGGATTTTATTCTGTAGGTAATAGGGAGCCATTTGAGGCGTCTGAGCAGCATGACATAATCAAATCTGATTTTGAAAAACTTTTGTAGTAACAGTATTTAGGATATACTGAAAGGAAAAAAGACAGAATTTGAGATCTAGTTAAAATTCTAGTATCCATTCTTCCTACACAAAAGGAATAGGAAGTTAAAGGTTAGGAGGATCAAATCAAATAAGATCATTTCGTCTTAGACTCTCTTAACTACAAGAAAAAGCATTCACTCAAGTTATGTATATGATGAGGACTTTATTATAAGACTAAAAGGGAAAATGGGCATCTCAAGCCTTGTGGCCAGGACTGGAAGAAAACTGCAGAATATCTCAGCCACACAAATGAATTGAAATGTTATGCAGAATCCAAGGCAGTTTTGGGGAATGGGCTGTTTTGTTGTGCCTTTATATACCAAATAGCCTATGAATCCTGCCTTAGTCTTCCATCATTTAGGGACTTAGCTAGTCTCTGTCCACTTCTATTCTTGCTAGCAATTACCCAAATTTCTCTGTATCTCATATTCAATTTGAGAGAATCTAATTAGGTCCATTAAATGTCATTGTCTCTATCTGGAGATAACTTTATTTCACACTGGCCAGCCTTAGATTGGCTACTTGGGCCCAGGTGCCGTTCCCTAATTCAGTTAGGAAGTGCAAGGGTCATGTGATACAAAAGGACTGCTATATAAGCATTTTTCCTTGTATAAGCACGACAGATACTATTCCAGACCTCACAATAAAATGACATTTTGCACACTCCTTTAAGAAATGCAAGTATTGGCTGGGCACGGTGGCTCACGCCTGTAATCTCCACACTTTGGGAGGCCAAGACAGGTGGATCACTTGAGGTCAGGAGTTTGAGACCAGCCTGGCCAACATGGTAAAACCCCAACTCTACTAAAAATACAAAAAATTAGCCGGGCATGGGGATTAGCCTGTAATCCCAGCACTTTAGGAGACTGAGGCGGGTGGATCACCTGAGGTCTGGAGTTGGAGGCCAGCCTGGCCAACATGGTGAAACCCCATCTCTACTAAAAATACAAAAAATTAGCCAGGCATGGTGGCACACACCTGTAATCCCAGCTACTTGGGGTGCTGAGGCAGGAGAATCGCTTGCACCCAGGAGGCAGAAGTTGCAGTGAGCCACTGCACTCCAGCCTGGGTGACAGAGTAAGACTCTGTCTCAAAAAAAGAAAAAAAAAGTTCATATAGCTATTCATACCAAAAGGAAAATGTCAAATCACAGTGTAAATAATAGATAACTTCAAGTTAATTTCCCACTTGTCTTATCACACATTTTCCTCTTACAGTGTCAAGTACTCATCCTTGGTGGCACTTGCCTTCATAATTCGTCCCACAGCTGTCATTCCCTGGACACCTTTGCTCTTCAGACATTTCTGTCAAGAACCAAGAAAGCTTGATCTTATTCTACATCATTTTTTACCTGTAGGGTAAGTGTGGCAATAATCCATCCATTAATTTTAGTAGCCTATAAGTCACAGATTATGAACAAGATTTTACATCTTTCAGTTAATTATTTTATCTTCTAATGTCAATGAGCACTCTTAGTCCAAGGAAATAGAATATTGCAAAACTTATATATTATATTCTTATATTTATGATCCTGATTATAACTATTTTAATTTGCTTAACTGAGTGCTTTTGTAATTACTTCTAACTTAGCGCTTTCTGATGCTTTATTTACTAAATATTTCTCAAATATATTTTAGAGATACTTGATTCTTTTACATTTGTATAAGGCTTTATAATTCATAATGTGTTTTCACATATTACCTCATAATTTTCATAATACTTCTATCTAGGCAATATATGTTTTTATTTGGTAGTAGAGAAAACAGGAGGCTGGGAGAAATTAAAAATGTGTTAGTCAAAGTCATTGGCTTGGTTGCTATACTGATATTGAAACCCAGGTCTTCTAACTATACTATGAGCTCCTAGGATCAGACATATCCCAAGTATCTAGTAGACTACCCCAAATAATTATTTATTGAAGGGATGACTGCATTCTGACTCTTACAACAGTGATCTTTTTAATATACAATCATGCACTGCATAACGACATTTTGGTTAGCACTGGACTGCATTTATGACAGTGATCCCATAAGATTAAATTACCATATTTTACTGTACTTTAGTTTCTCTGTTTGGCTATATATATTTTATATTTATTTATTTATTTGAGACCGAGTCTCGATCTGTCACCCAGGCTGGAGTGCAATGGCGCAATCTCACTTCAACCGCCTCCCAGGTTCAAGTGATTCTCCTGCCTCAGCCTCCCAAACAGCTGGAATTACAGGCGCCTGCCACCACGCCCAGCTAATTTTTTTATTTTTAGTAGAGTTGGGGTTTCACCATGTTGGCCAGCTACTCTCAAACTCCTGACCTCAGGTGATCCTCCCACCTTGGCCTCCCAAAGTGCTGGAAATACAGGCATGGGCCACCATGCCCAACCTGTTTAGCTATAGTTAGATACATAGATACATAGCATTATGTTACGATTGCTTACAATATTCAGTATAGTACCATGCTGTATAGGTTTGCAGCCTAGGAGCCATAGGCTATACCATATAGCCTAGATGTCTGTAAGCTGTACCATCTAGGCTTGTGTAAGTGCACTCTATGATGTTTGCACAATGATGAAATTGCCTAATGATGCAGTTCTCACAATATATCCCCATTGTTAAGTAATGCATGACTGTACTAGTGTTCACTAGTCACAAGTATTTTTCGGGTAGCAATCTGAAAGGACTAAATTGTCTTGCGTCTCAGTTGCCACTGTTGTCGTTTCTCAGGTGTATTAATAATATTGCATTAAATGTATTCATTCATTCAGGAAGTATTTAATCCTACTATGTGCCAGGCAGTGTTCCAGATGTAGGAGATGCATCAGTTTAACCAAAAAAAGTACCTGCCTTCATGAAGTTTACATTCTAGTAGGGAGAGACAGACAGCTAAAAAGATAAGAATATATATTTGTCAAGTGATGGCAATACAGGGAAAAATAATTGTGGCATAAGGAGGATGGAATGCCAGTGCTTGGGGTGACAGGGGAGCTGTTATTTTTAAACAGGGTGGTTGGGAAAGACCACCATGTAAGGTGACACTGGAGCCAAAACTTAAAGGAGTTGAGAGAGTGAACCATGTAGTTACTTGATGAGAGAATATTCCAGGCAAAGGGACCAGCCAAGTACTAAGTATGTTGGGCATGTTCAGGGAACAGCAAGGAGACGGATGTGGCTAAAAGAGAGTGAGCTTGGGAGAATGGAATAATGAGATCAGAGAGATAGCAGGGGCTCAGTTCATTCCGGATTTGACACTGAGGGAGATAGAAAGCCTTTTTAATCTCATCAGCAGCATGATAATAACTTACTCATTTAATAAGCATTTAACCTACTTTGTATCCAGCATTTGATAATTCAGAGGTGAGTAAGATACAGTGTCTGCTCTCAAAGTCAAAGTCTGTGGGGGAAAAAGATAAAACAATACAGATGCTCCTTGACTCGGGATTACATCCTGATAAACTCATTGCAGGTTGAAAATATAAGTCAGGCAAGGCACAGTGGCTCACACCTGCAATCCCAGTGCCTTGGGAGGCCAGGAGTTCAAGAACAGCCTGAGCAACATAATGAGACCCCGTCTCAACAAAAAAAAATTTAAAAATTGGCCAAGTATAGGTGGCAGTAGGCACGCCTGTGGTCCTAGCTACTTGGGAGGCTGAGGCAGGAGCATCCCTTCAACCCAGGAGTTCAAGGTTGCAGTGAGCTATGATCATTCCACTGCACTCCAGCCTGGGGAAAACAGTGATAACCTGTCTCTAAACAAAATAAATAAAAAAGAAAATATTCTACATTAAAAATGCACTTAACACATCTAACATACTGAATATCACAGCTTAGCCTATCATAAACATGCTCAGAACATTTACCTTAGCCTACAGTTGGGCAAAATCATCTAACACAAACCCTATTTCATAATAAAATATTTGAATATCTCATGTAATTCATTGAATACTATACTGAAAGTGAAAAACAGAATGGCTGTGTGGGTACCATTTTAAAGTTGAAAAATCGTAGGTTGAATCATCATCAGTTAGGGATTATAATTCTTACCCAGTGATTTAAAGGGGTCTAGTGGTCAGATACGGTGGCTCACGCCTGTAATCCCAGCACTTTGGGAGACTGAAGCAGGCACATCACCTGAGGTCAGGAGTTCAAGACCAGCCTGGCCAATATGACGAAACCCCGTCTCTACTAAAAATGCAAAAAAATTAGCTGGGCATTGTGGGGCGTGCCTGTAATCCCAGCTACTTGGGAGGCTGAGGCAGGAGAACGTTTGAACCCCAGAGGTAGAGGTTGCAATGAGCCGAGAACGCACCACTGCACTCCAGCCTGTGCAACAGAGCAAGGCTCCATCTCAAAATAGAAATAAAAATTAAAAATGAAGTATTCTAAGTTAGACATAACAAAATTCTGCAGAAGAACAGAAAGTAATCTAATTTTGCTTGCAGAGGGAATATTAGTAGAAGCCTTATAAAGTGGGTGGTGTTTCAAGTAACATCAGGGTGAATATGAATTTGGCATGCATGGAGAATGAGCTCGCTTAAAGCTGAAAAAGCCTAAAGGAACCTTTTCACATAGATCAGATGCTTGCTTTGTTTATTTTGAAGCGAAATATAGAAGAGAACAAATGAGATAATGCACGTGAAAATATTCTGAAGTTGTGCAGTATAGAACAAATGTCAATCACAGTCCTAATTAGTCTTATATTCAAGTCCTTTGATGCATAGAGTTGGCTTCAGACTTGAATGATATAACAACCTTTTACATATTTAGCACTCTTTAAAAATAGTCAGTTGCATCTCCAAACAGTAATAGTGTCTCTAAATATAGAGAAAAATATTGAATTCGTCTTAGGAAAAATTATAATATATGTGAACCAATTTTTGTTTACTTTTTATATGGCCTTGAGAATTTGGGATATCATTTTGTCATTTTGTAAAATCCAAAATACTTCAATTGCCTTCCAGCTGCCACACTATCTCACCAATAATTGACAAGACAGGAATGACTATAGGTCTTACAGCCATTCCCAAAATGAAGAAGACTATATTATAAACAACTTTTTGCTAATAAACTTGAAAAATGAACACATTTCTAGAAAAATGCAGCTTACCAAAACTGACAGGAGAAGTAGAAAATCTGAACAGTACTATATGAATTAAAGAAATTTAATTTGTAATTAAGATCTTCAAAGAAAGATGCATCAGGTTCAAATGGCTTCATTGGCAAATTATTCCATACATTTAAGAAAGAAGAAACATCAGTTCACATGAACTATTCCACAGAACGGAAAAAGAAAAACATTTCCCAGTTCTTTTCATGACAATAGCATATTCTCGATACCAAAATCTAACGAGGACATTACAAGAAAGGTCAATTATAAACCAGTATTTCTCATGACTGTGAATGCAAAAATCCTGAAGAAATATTAGTAAACTGAATCCATACAATATTTAAAAGAATACATGACATCCAAGATTGGGTTTGTTCCAAGAATATAATATTTGATATTTGAAAATCAGTCAGTATGATTCATGACATCAAGAGAATAAAGGAGAAAAATAATATGGCTTTCTTAATAGACACACAGAAAGCATATGATGAAACTAAAGGCCTAGTCATGATTGTCAGGGAGGGGGAAGACAACCCTTAGAAAACAAACTGTGGAAAGGGACTGATTCATACGACACTTCGTATAAAAACTTTACAGAAAAATTGTGCTTAGTGTGAACATATTGAAACCCTTTCCCTCCAGATTGGGAAAGATACAACGATGGTTATTATCTCCACTCCTGTTCAACAGTATCCATCCTACCTAGTGCAATAGGACAAGAAAAGCGAGTTAATGGTAGAAGGGAGGAAATAAAACTGTGACTTTGTATCATGATTTTATATGTAGAAAATTCGAAAGAATCTAAAGATAAACTATTAGATAGGTAAACAAATGAAGCATGCTCACTAGATACAGGGTCCATATACAAATATTAATTGCACTTGAATATTAAACCAGTGGGTAAAAGTTTGAAGAATAGTTACACAGTTCCAAAGTATCTTCCACAAGAGACCTATTAATTACAAATGATAATTTTATAGCAGAGAAACTTGGGAGACATACCTTAACTAGGTGACTGAAGTTAACATTGCTAGTAATAGGACAAATCAGTATTGTGAGATGCTTGATCTGAGGCACTGAGAAAAACATCCCTTCACTTTGGTGGTGTTAACTGCCAAAATGCATAACCTGAATCTAATCCTGAGAAAACATCAGATAAACCCAAATTGAGGTACATTATGACCACGCCTGGCCTGTAATAAGTCGTAATATCTAGTAGTGTAGGCCAGGGAGCCACCACACCCGCCCTGTAATAAGTCTTAACATCTAGTAGTGTAGGCCGGGCGCAGTGGCTTACGCCTGTAATCCTAGCACTTTGAGAAGCCAAGGTGGGCGGATCACCTGAGGTCAGGAGTTCGAGACCAGCCTGGCCAACATGGCAAAACCCCATCTCTACTAAAAATACAAAAACTAGCTGGGCATGGTGGCGGGTGCCTATAGTCCCAGCTACTCGGGAGGCTGAGACAGAAGAATCGCTTGAACCCAAGAGGCGGAGGCTCCAGTGAGCCGACATCATGCCACTGCACTCCAGCCTGGGCGACAGAGTGAGACCCTGTCTCAGGAAAAAAAAAAAAGGACTTATTACAAAGCTATCGTAGTTAAGACAACTTAGAATTAGAATTAGTGCAAGGTAAAACAAATAGATCAGTGGAACAGAATATGGTCCAGTAGCATACAAACATATGTAGTCACTTTATGAGGAAAGTGATACTGTAGTACAGTAAGGAAGGGATAGTCTTTTTTCTTTTCTGATTTGTTTTTGTTTTGTTTTGTTTTGTTTGTTTTTGAGACACAGTCTTGCTCTGTTGCTCAGGCTGGAGTGCAGTGGGGCAATCTCGGCTCACTGCAACCTCCGCTATCTGGGTTCAAGCGATTCTCCTGCCTCATCCTCCCAAGTAGCTGGGATTACAGGCACCTGCCATCACACCTGGCTAATTTTTGTATTTTTTTTTTTAGTAGACACGGGGTTTCACCATGTTGGCAAGGCTGGTCTTGAACTCCAACCTCGTGATCCACTCGCCTCAGCCTCCCAAAGTGCTGGGATTACAGGCATGAGCCACCGAGCCTGGCCTGGATAGTCTTTTCAATAAATACATAGTTGGCTATCCATATGGAAAAAAAAAATCTTCTTGACTCCTACCTTCCCAGCGTAAGCAAAAATGAAAAACAAAAAAGCAAAAAACTCTAAGGGAATTATAGATCTTGATGTAAAGGTAAAACAGTGGTGGTTGTGCAAGATATGACAGAATATCCTCATGATCTTGAGGCAGGCAAAACTTTCCTAAATAGACGATAAGTACTAACTATAAAGAAAAAGATAAATACATTTGAATATATTAAAATTAAAGACTTTTGTTCATCAGATTCACCATTAAGAGTGAAAAAGCATGGCCAGCGTGGTGGCTCACACCTGTAATCCCAACACTAGGAGGCCAAGGCGGGTGGATCATGAGGTCAGGAGATCGAGACCATCCTAGCTAATATGGTGAGACCCTGTCTCTACTAAAAATATAAAAAATTAGCCGGATGTGGTGGCAGGCACCTGTAATCCCAGCTACTCAGGACGCTAAGGCAGGGGAATTGCTTGAACCTGTGAGGCGGAGCCTGCAGTGAGCTGAGATCATGCCACTGTGCCACTGTACTCCAGCCTGGGCAACACAGTGAGACTCCGTCTCAAAAAAAAAAAAAAACAGAGTGAAAAAGCAAGCTACAGATCAGAAGAAGATGCTGTTATACATGTAACCAACTAAACCCTTACATCCAGATTATATATAAAACTTGTAAAAATCTATAAGAAAAAGATAACTCATAGAAAAATGATTGAAAAGATTTCATCAGGTACTTCAAAAAATATTAAAATGGTCAATAAGTATAAAGAGACTCATCTCATTTGTTATTAGGAAATACAAAGTAAAACCACCATGAAATACTACTATACTATACATCCACCCAAATGGCTAGTATGATGTGGAACTTATATATTCCTGTGGGAATGCAAACTAATAACTACTTTGGAAAACTTTTAAGTATTTACAAAAGCTAAATAAATACATAGTTGCACTTATAACTTAGGACAGGGGTCCCCAGTCCCAAGGCTGTGGACTGGCACCAGTCCATGACCTCTTAGGAACTGGACTGCACAGCAGGAGGTGAGCAAGCAAGCATTACTGCCTGAGCTCCACCTCCTGTCACATTCTTATAGAAGTGTAAACCCTATTGTGAACTGCACATGCAAGGGATCTAGATTGTGCTCCGTATGAGCATCTAATGTCCAGTGATCTCAGGTGGAACAGTTTCATCCAGAAACCATGCCCCACTCCCACCCTGCAACCTGTTCATGGAAAAACTATCTTTCAAGAAACCAGACCCTGGTGCCAAAAAGGTTAGGGAGCACTACCTTAGGGCCCACCAATTCCAGTCCTAGGTATATGTCTAACAGAAATGCATATATATGGATACCAAAAGATGTGTAAAAGAATGTTCATTGCAGCACTATTCACAATAGCTGAAAATGGAAGCACAGTGTCCATCAACAGCAGGAATACATACAGTGTGGTATACATAGTTACAATACACAGCATTGTAAATGAATGAACTACAGCATGCAAAAAAACGTGGTTCAATCTCACAAGCATAATGACTAAAGGAATTTGGACATGAGTACATATGGTATGATTCTATTCTTATAAAATTCAAAAAAAGATAAAACTCATCTGTTCTGTCAGAAATTAGGATAGTGGTTATCTTTGGGAAGCAGAAGGGCTACCTTTGGGCTACTTTTGGGGAGGGGGTAGGGACTGACTGGAGGGATAAGGGGGTGCTGCTAATACTCTTTATCCCGCTGTGTATGGCAGTTACACAGTTGTGTTCATATAGTGATGATTCATAGAGCTTTATCCTCATAGGGTATTTTTCTGTATATGTGTTTGTAGTAGGCAGTCTCTGAGATGGCCTCCAATGATCGCATCCTTCTGCTGTTTATGTCTTTTATAATCCCCTCCCCTTGAACATGGGCTAGATTTGTTGACTCAATTCTAATGCGTAGAATACAGCAGAAGGGATTGGATATCATTTATAAGACTGGGTTATGAAAAGATATGGTGGCCGGGCACAGTGGCTTACATCTGTAATCCCAGCATTTTGGGAGGCCAAGGTGGAAGTATTGCTTGAGCCTCAGAGTTTGAGACCAGTTGGGTAATACAGTGAGACTCCCATCTCTACAGCAAATCCAAAACTTATCCAGTCACGGCGGCACACACCTGTAGTCCTAGTTACTTGGGAGGCTGAGGTGGGAGGATCACTTGAGCCCGGGAGGTCAAGGCTGCAGTGAGCCATAATCACACACTACTGCACTCCAGCCTGGGTGACAGAGCAAGACCCTGTCTCTAAAAAAAAAGAAAAGAATAAATAAATAAAAAAGACTATGGCTTCCATCTTGGGTGCCTGTCTCTCACTCTTGGCCGACTTACCCTGGGTTAAGCCAATTATTATGTCATGAAGCAGCCTTAAGGAGATGGACATATGTTGAGGAACTTAGCCCCATCAGCAACCATGTGAGCAAGTCTGGAAGCTGATCTCTCCACCCACAATTGAACCTTCACATGAAACTGTAGCCCCTGCTAAGAGCTTGACTACAATTCATGAGAGACCTCGAGCCAGAGGCACACAGCTAAGCAACACCTAGGTTATTGATCCCCAGGAACTATGAAATGGTAAATATTCATAGTTTAAGTTAACAAGTTTTGGGGTAATTTGTTACACTGCAGTAGTCTTTCAATAATCTTTATATTAATATATTTTTATGATATTAATTGATTAATTATATAATCTTATTTACTGATCTTTATCAACAGATACCTTTCAAAATGTGTAAATCCATATTCAGTTGGTGAAACTGTAAAGCATTTTTATAGTGGCTTTTGATGCAAGGCACATACAAAACCATATGCTAATGGATTTTCAGCAAGCTGCAAATGTGAATCACTATTCTATTTTTGTTTTTCAGCCTTGCTACTTTGAGTTTGTCTCTGATGATTGATCGTATTTTTTTTGGCCAAGTAAGTAAAAGTATATTAAGCTAACAGCTATTTTTATTTTTAATCCATTAATATTTTAGAACAGCGGCAAACAATTTTTTAAATGATATGGGATACACTACAAAAGACTTCTAGGCATATCCTAATAAGCCTTTGGTTCAATTTGTTGTGCTTTCTACATAAAAGAATTAGTATTCCTAGTTAATATTCAGGAGAGTACATTTTAAGGCAGGGAATTATTAAGTGAGCACTGAATGTTACCTATTGTTGCTGTTTGTCATTATTGTCAGCTTTGTGCTGTAATTCAAATTGTAATGTTTTCAAAGCTTTATCTTAACAGGTAATGTGATATTGTAAAGTACCACACACAGTCCAAAAAATTTGTCTAGTATCCTCTTTATCTCTAACTAGATATAAAACTTGATGGAACTAGAGGCCATTATTCTAAGTGAAATAACTCAGGAATGGAAAACCAAATATCATATGTTCTTACTTACAAGTGGGAGCTAAGCTGTGAGGATGCAGAGACATAAGAATGATAGAATGGACTCTGGGGACGCGGGGTGGGGAAGGGTGGGAGAGGGGTGAAAAATAGAGAGTACATATTGGGTACAGTGTACATTGCTTCGCTGATGAGTGGACCAAAATCCTAGAAATCACCTCTGAAGAACTTATTCGTGTAACCAGAAGCCATCTGTGCCCCAAAAACTATTGAAATAAAAAAAAAACTTAGATTGCTAAAATGTAAGTTTGAATCTCACTTTGAATCTCAAAAACCTAGTTTTACAAATTAACAAAGAACACATTAATACGTAAAGAAGAAAAAATAACAAGAAGGATTTCATATAGTCATTAGTCAAAATTATTAGGTCGGGCACGGTGGCTCACGCCTGTAATTGCAGCACTTTGGGAGGCCAAGGCGGGCAGATCACAAGGTCAGGAGATTGAGACCATACTGGCTAACACAGTGAAACCCCATCTCTACTAAAAATACAAAAAATTACCCGGGCATGGTGGCGGGTGCCTGTAATCCCAGCTACTCGGGAGGCTGAGGCAGCAGAATGGTGTGAACCTGGCAGGCAGAGCTTGCAGTGAGCCGAGATCGTGCCACTGCACGAAAAAAAAAAATTATTAATGTAAACTATTGCCTGGTTTTAAGACTTGTTCTGATTTAATGTCAAAATTGTGTCAGTTCCCTAATGCCAAACATTACTACTTGGCACTAACACATTTCTATTTATTTTTCCTTCAACTGTGCCAGTGGACTCTGGTTCAATTTAATTTTTTGAAATTTAACGTGCTGCAGAACTTGGGAACATTTTATGGTTCTCATCCATGGCACTGGTACTTCAGTCAAGGATTTCCAGTTATCTTGGGTACTCACTTACCCTTCTTTATTCATGGCTGCTATCTAGCACCAAAGAGACACCGGATACTTTTGGTGACTGTGCTATGGACACTGCTTGTTTATAGGTAAGATTTGTTCAAAAGGCTAAAATGTTTTATGTTACCAAGAAATCAAATCAAATTCTTCAAAAAGTAAACTTTATTTTTTGGAGGTGCCATTAACTTTTGTTAGTGGGAATTATCTTAGAAGATACAAGTAGTAGTAATTATGGAGGCACTAGAGTGAATACTTTAGATATGTAGTTTGCTTAATAAGGATTACACTCAATTTTTAAGAACTTGGACTAATTTTTTTGTTTTTTTAAAAAAAGGCACAGTTACTCATGCCTGTAATTTCAATACTTTGGAAGGTCAAGGTGGGAGGATTGCTTGAAGCAAGGAGTTCATGACCAGCCTGAGCAACATAGCAAGACCCTCTCTCTGAAAAAAATGTAAAATTACCAGGGCATGATGGCATGTGCCTGTAGTCCTAGCTATTTGGGAAGCTGAGGCAGAAGGACTGCTTGAGCCCAGGAATTTAAGGTTGCAGTGAGCTATGATTGTGCTACTGCATTTCGGTCTAGGTGACAAAACAAGATCCAGTCTCAGTCAATCAATCATCAATCAATCAGTCAATACCACCAAAATTTTAAAATGAAGGACCACAGAAATACATTCTAAAATAAAAATGATGTATCCTTGTTCCAAATTTGACTAATTTTACTTACTTGGATAGAAATAGAAATCCCGTTTTTAGAATGTAACTGTACTCTGTAATTTCAAATTGACATCATATTTTATTACTAGTTTTACCATCTCATAATCACCTTATAACTAAAAAATGAGACTAATTCCTGAAGCAAGAAATTCAGTCTGAGTACTTCGAAAATAAATAGATCAAGTTAAATATATTTTATATTAAATACATTACTTTCTCAATGTATCATATAACATGATAATTAATATTTTTAATATTTCTTTTTATTATAGCATGTTGAGCCACAAAGAATTCAGGTTTATTTATCCAGTTTTACCATTCTGTATGGTGTTCTGTGGTAAGTGCTTTTGTTTGTTATAGAAAATAAATTATATAGAAATAGTCCAAAGACAACACATCCTCATTAAACTATTTTTATTTTCAACTAGGTTAATAAGGAATTACTTAATTACAGATTATCTTACTGCAATATTCCCTTTTTGTAGTCCAAATACCTTTTTTCCTATATCCTCTAAAGTGAGATAAAAACATAAAGATCCTAGCCCAGTGCAGTGGTGTGCACGTATAGTCCCAGCTACTCAGAAGCCTGAGGCAGGAGGTTCGCCTGAGTCCAGGAGTTTGAGATCAGCCTGGGTAGTATGGCAAGTCCGTCTCTCAAAAAACAAACAAACAAAACACCCACATAAATATCCAATACCCAAAGCAGTTTTTGGTGGTGGTGTTTCTATTTGGTGGTATTGTTTCTCACTAAAACGTAAAGTTAATGTCTGTTTTAGATAAGCTATTTTAAGTTTATGGTTAAACTGTAAGGGTCTTCATTTTCACAAAGGAAAAATGTATTTATTGCTGTTGAAACTAGTTTTTAATGCTTTTACACACAAAACATTTACACCTTTAAAACTCTAAGGCATATACAATTATTATTATTATTATTTTAGACGGAGTCTCACTCTGTCGCCCATGCTGGAGTGCAGTGGCACGATCTCAGCTGACTGCAACCTCCACTTCCTGGGCTCAAGCAATTCTCCTGCCTCAGCATCCCTAGTAGCTGGGATTACAGGCATGCAACACCATGCCCAGCTAATTTTTGTATTTTAAGTAGAGACGGGGTTTCACCATGTTAGCCAGGCTGGTCTTGAACTCCTGACCTCAGGTGATCCACCCGCCTCAGCCTCCCAAAAGTGCTGGGATTATAGGCGTGAGCGACTGCGCCCAGCCTGGCATATGCAATTTTTTAAGTAATTAACTTCTGATTTTATTTCAAGCCTTTTCTCCATTTTTCCACAGTCTTAACATGTATTTTTTTTGTCACTTACAAAAATTCTTACATGACTCAATTCAGGAAAATCTGGGTTTTTACATTGGTTGGTTTGGAAAAATTATGAATTGAAACTTTATTAACTTCAAGTTTAATTCGGAATAAATGACTGTTGGCTTCCTTCAAATATTAAGACCTTAAAAAAAAATCACTACGTTGGGAGAGAAGAAATGACTAGCCAATTGAACTGGAGGCTGGAAAAAACCTAGGGAGTTAGTTTTCAAACTTTTTACTTAAAAAAAAAAAAGAAAAACATTGAGTCAAGCAGTGTTTGACCAAGTATACATCAACTCCTACAGATCTGAGATGTATAATCTCTTCGATTTAAGGAGATAAACATACAAATATAAAATCAAACATAAAAATCTGTATTTTTGATACATCTGAAGTTCTGAAACCAAAGCCTTAGTCTGTCATTACTTTACACTCTAACCATATACAAATGTAGGCACATACAGAAATATAGACATCTAACAGCTATTTGGCAAGCCTTAAGAATAGCTGGCCCCATTTGCCAGAGGAAATCTGTTCATAAATCACTATTCAGATGTTAAAATGGTTTCTGTTTTGTTGGGTTTTTTTATAGCCACTTGAGTGTGTGTTATAATTAAGCATTGCCAGAGTACAGAGGCAAATGTTTTTGTGTGCCTGAAGGGGATGGGGAGGTTGGTTAGTAACTTGGTTTGATTTCTGTTTTCATAAACCAGATTTTTCCAGCATTCCTCCTCTGTGTCTTGTTTCTTTACCAAGTATTTACCTGAAGATTGAGTTGTCTGAATCCTCATTCCCAGTCTGAAAGATTGAATCTTTAAGTGGCAAGATCCCTGTAACCAGGGCCTATTCCCAGTTTATTGAGATAAAATGATGATGAGGGATAAAGAGATCCCCTTTTAATAGGTGAGAATCACCCCTTCTTCCATCCTCTGTCTACTTAGACGGATTCCTAAAAGACAGCGACCTAGAAAACCCCTTGATCTCCTCACAGGATGCTCCACCCCCTACCTAAGGTTCTAGAGTGGGTCAAAAAACTGATTCCTAGGAGATTTGCACTTCCCCTAACGGTCAGAGCTCTTTAATGCCAAGAGGTTCCAACAGTAGGATCAATTCTGTCTAGTGATCTCACCTAGACAGAATCTTCGGACATTTAGAACAGTTCTCTTTGGAGCTCTTGATGTTTTAGAGACCTAGTTTGAATCTTTCCTAACTACTTGAAATCTTGAGTTATACCACACATTTCAGCCATATGCTGCTTTTGTGTGACTTGTTTTAACCTATTTTTATATAAACATGACAACTCTATCAGCCATTGCTGTGTAAAAGGCCTCCTCAAAACTGTAGTGGCTTAAAACTCCATTTATTATTATTTACAGGTCTATATTTCAACTGGGCAGTTCTCATCTCCACTGAGCTCACTTAAACAAACGTCATCAGCTGCAGTTTGGGTAGATACCTCTGTTGACCTAGGCTGGGCTCTCATGTCTGGGGTTCAACTAACTGTAGGCCAAGTCTTCTCAGCTCTTCTGAGTTTTCTCTTCCTCCAATAGGCTAGCTAGGGCTTGTTCACTTGGCGTAGGCCGGGTTCCAAGAGAGGGAGCAAATATGCAAGACCCTTTGAGACAAGCGCTTGGAATTTGCACACTGTCACTTCCACCACATTCTTTTAATCAAAGCAAGTCACTGGGCCAGGTCAGACTCAAGAGGTGGGGAAATAAATGCCAGCCTCATAGTGGGATGGGACACAGGAAGAAAAATAATTGCAGCTGTTTTTTTCAATCTACAGTAACCTCTCTTGCCTAATTTGAATTTCTCTTAGTCCTATAAAATAGGACTCAACTCTAGAAAATGTAGTTTGTGACTGGCTCTCATCTTTAGTGAATTGTTTAACAATGTGCCTCAGTTTCCTTATTTGTAAAAGAAAGGTGATATTTTAGCAACACTAATTCGGTTCTTAGATTGAATCTCTCACTTGTGCTGATAGAGTTCAGCACCCACTACTGATTCTGAGTTGAGTGTCTGCTTATCTGTTTTTACCACAGTGGTGGCCAATATAGACTTCTCTCTTACTGGGCCACTTTGTTTTTCCATATTCTTATCTTTATTTTATTTTATTTTATTTTTTTTGAGACAGAGTCTCGCTCTGTCGCCCATGCTGGAGTACAGTGGCACAATCTCGGCTCACTGCAACCTCTGCCTCCTGGGTTCAAGAGATTCTCCTGCCTCAGCCTCCAGAGTAGCTGGAATTACAGGCCCACGCCACCACAGCCAGCTAATTTTTGTATTTTTAGCAGAGATGGGGCTTGACCATGTTGACCAGGCTGGTGTCAAACTCCTGACCTCAGGTGATTCACCTGCCTTGGCCTCCCAAAGTGCTGGGATTACAGGCGTGAGCCACCACACCTGGCCCCATATTCCAATCTTTTTATCAAAATTGCATATGTACATTATTTCAGAAGACCTTCCACAAAAATTAAAAAAAAAAAAAAGTGTTCCCCTGCTCTCCCTTCTATTTCCTCTCCCCAAAAACAATCACTTACACATTCTTTCAGCTGGTTATTTTGGTATCTACCTCAATATCTCTATAACACTTATAATGCCACTTAAAGGTCTTTGTTTTAGGCATTAACTATTGAATTCTATCGAAGATGAAAAGATGGCTTTACTTCCTTAACAAGGTAGCAACATAAAATTCTTCCTGGCCAGCTGCCGGTGGCTCACGCCTGTAATCCTAACACTTTGGGAGGCTGAGGTGGGTGGATCACCTGAGGTCAGGAGTTTGAGACCAGCCTGGCCAACAGGGTGAAACCCTGTCTCTACTAAAAATACAAAAATTAGGCGGGTGTGGTGGCACGCACCTGTAATCCCAGCTACTCGGGAGGCTGAGACAGGAGAATCACTTGAACCCTGGAGGTGAAGGTTGCATTGAGCCAAGATCGGCACCACTGCACTCCCGCCTGGGTGACAGAGCGAGACTGTCTGAAAAAAAAAAAAAAAATTCTTGATACCTTCATCTGTGCCCAGTACCCTCATTATGGTTAATAGTTCAAAGTCTCTCTTTCCCAGCCTCATTCTACTGTATGTCCCACTCCAGAATTGAACCACCTTTTGTTGTTCTCATCTAAACAGTGAAACTAAGCTTTCTCAGAGATTATTTAAAAATAGAAACAATAACTCAGATCTCTAATTGGTAAAATGTGATAGGGATTTTTTTTTCTTAACATTAGGTTTCCTGATAATTCTTGTCAAAACCAGGATGGAAACAGTAATCTACAGTCTCAGATACTCCCATCCTCTCTATTACCATGAACCTTACCTTGGTAAGAAGGAACTTAGTCATTGCTGGAAATTACGGAGTGCCACGCTGGATATCCAAAATTTTAGAAAGTGCGTATATCACGCTAAATAATATGTGATGATTAAGAGATATGGCTTTATAAAGGAACCATCTCATGAAGTATCTTCTTATATGCTCAGGTTTTTAGATTTTATCCTGAAGAGTAGTCAACTGAGACGTAATGGATTGTAAACATTTCTGTAACAGTAATCTGTTGAACATGATCTGATAGGAGCCCAGTGTTTTTTTTTTTATGAAAATAAATGCTGATGGTACAAAAACAATTAGTGTGCCATCCTCAAGTCATCTAGCCCCATTCCCCAGAGGTAACTATTGTTATCACTTTCTTAAGAAGTTCTTCCAGAAATGTTCTGTATACCCACTTTCGGTTATCTTTTTGTAGGTCCAGATAATAGGAGCAAATTAAGTATTTAGGGATGATGTTTAGCACCCAGTTAGCAATGGGTTGTTACTATGTGAAAGTAAGGGACCTGTACTTCAGTCACTGGGGTACATACGAAGTCTTAAATCTTCAGCGATTCGGATTCACATCATTTACGTGGTGGGGATGATCACTTTCTGAAGCTAGGTCATTTGAGGGTGGATTATTTCAGTGAGAACTGCATCTCCAAATTTGTGCGTGCCATTAATTAGACTTACTGGACGTCACCTACTGGAATCTTGTTCATTTATTTTAAATATTGATGAAACAGAAGTACTTGTCTATAAGAAAATGGTGGACCTTAGGCTTCTCTTGTGGTTCACTCAGTCTAGCATTGGAACTGGAAAATCTTTCCAACCCTTCCTTTAGCAACTCATTTCTGAAATCCCCTTTGGAAGCTTTCAGTGCCACAAGGTTTAAAAACCCCTCAGAGGCCTTAAATTCAGGACTCTTAATATAACTCTAAAGTTAGGTTCTTTTCTAACATGTGCACAAGTCATTTGATGAGAACTGAAATTACAAAGATATTTTCTTTATATGTCAAATGCTTAGTAATGCTTATAGGATGCTAAACATGTAAATAAAGGCAGTTCTGGCTGGGTGCTGTGGCTCACACCTGTAATCCCGGAACTTTGGGAGTCTGGGGCGGGCAAATCACCTGAATTTGAGACCAGCCTGGCCAACATGGTGAAACCCCATCTCTACTAAAAATACAGAAATTAGCCGGTCATGGCGGCAGACACCTGTAATCCCAGCTACCCGGGAGGCTAAGGCAGGATAATCACTTGAACCCAGGAGATGGAGGTTGCAATGAGCGAGTTTGGCACTACACTCCCGCCTGGGTGACAGAGCGAGACTCTGTCTCAAAAAATAATAATAATATAAAGATAGTTCTATTTTAAATAAGGCTTTATCTCCAAACCTCATTTTTAAGTTGGAACCTGAAATATTTTTTTCTTAGAAATAATACTGTGACATGTAGTAAGGCTCCCAGAATATTCCACAAAAGCTCCTCTGATCCATAATACTGTTGAAGACAATTTTGAATGGCAACTGTTTCAGTATCCACTGTCCCCAAGAAAACTAAGCTATCAGCTGACTCTCCCTGGCAGTGTTCAGCTGCTCCTTCTCTTCCCAGCATTTTCTTTATATTACTTCTCTAAGTAATACGGAGATTCAGTTCTCACTAAAATGATCCATCCTAAAATGAGCTAAGCTCAGAGAGTTAAAGCCACCATCATGTAAGGCAAGCATTACCTAAGAGACGCCCTGTCTCACCAGTGCTGAAGATGCTAGAAACACAAGCATGTTATCTTCCAGCATTCTACCCAGAGTGCTATTTTCATAGTCTTGATCACCAAGTATTCTCATTTTGTATCACCCACCTGTATTATTGTATTCCTAGTGCCATAGTTTCTTTTTTTTCTTCTTTTTTTTTGAGATGGCATCTTGCTCTGTCACCAGGCTGGAGTGCAGTGGCGTGATCTCAGCTCACTGCAACGTACGCCTCCCGGGTTCAAGTGATTCTCCTGCTTCAGCCTGCCTCAGTTGGGACTACAGGTGCATACCTCAGCCTGCCTCCTGCCTCAGCTGGGATGACAGGCATGCGCCTCCACACCCAGCTAAATTTTGTATTTTTAGTAGAGATGGGGTTTTACCATGTTGGCCAGAATGGTCTCGATCTCTTCACCTCGTGATCTGCCCGCCTTGGCCTCCCAAAGTGCTGAGATTACAGGCATGAGCCACTGCGCCTGACCCAGTGCCACAGTTTCTAATAAAAATTTCCAACATTTAATGAATGAACAAATTATTATTATTCTGAGACAGAGTCTCGCTCTGTCGCCCAGGCTGGAGTGCAGTGGCGCAATATCAGCTCACTGCAAGCTCCGCCTCTCCTGCCCAGCCTCTCGAGTAGCTGGGACTACAGGTGCCCGCCACCACGCCCAGCTAACTTTTTTCTGCATTTTTAGTAAAAAGAGACAGAGTTTTACCCAAAGTGCCGGGATTATAGGCGTGAGCCACCGCGCCCGGCCTTGAATGAACAAATTATTAAGTGAATCACTTTACACATGCTCACCTTGTAAGTATCTTCAAATAACTGAGAACAAACCGTATCTTCTAGGGCCTTGCTGTAGGATGGGCTTGCTGTAGTTTGGATGTTTGTCTCCTAAACCTTGTGTTGAAATTTGATCCCCATTGTTGAAGGTGGGGCTAACGGGAGGTGCTTCAATCATGGGGTTGGAGCCTTCGCGAATGGCTTGGCACCATCCTGGGGTAATACGTGAGTTCTCCTTATTAGGTTTCCTGAGAATTCCCCTGAGTGCTGGCTGTTAAAAAAGAGCCTGGCACCTTCCACTTTCTTGCTTCTGCTCTCTCACCATGTGATCTCTGCACACACGGACTCCCCTGCACCTTCTGCCATGAGTGGAAGCAGCCTGAAGCCCTCACCAGTAGATGCTGGTGCCATGCTTGTACAACCTGCAGGACCATGAGCCAAGTAAACATCTTTTCTTTATAAATTGGCCAGCCTCAGGTATTCCATTATAGCAGTACAGACAGACAAAGACAAGGCTTTAATGTAGCTTTTTGTATTTGAGCCTACTAAAGTAGGTGGTGTTTTAGCCTACCACCCAAGTCAAGTGCTTCAGCTTATATTTGGGGATCTGCTGGATCTGACTGGGGTTATTACAGATGGTTGAACTTTTAGAATCCTATTTTATTTATTTTGAGACAGAGTTTCGCTCTGTTGCCCAGGCTGGAGTGCAGTGGCACGATCTTAACTCATTGCAATCTCTGACCCCATGCCCGGCTAATTTTTATATGAGATGGGGTTTCACCATGTTGGCCAGGTTAGTCTTGAACTCCTGACCTCAAGTGATCTGCCTGCCTTGGCCTCCCAAAGTACTGGGATTACAGGTGTGAGCTACTGCACCTGGCCCTATTTTATTCATTTTTATTTTCATAGTCAGGGTGTCACCCAAGCTGGAGTGCAGTGGCGTGGTCATAGCTCACTGTCCCCTCAAACTCATGAGCACAGATGAACCTCCTGCCTCAGCCTTCCCAGTAGCTGGAACTACAGGTGCGCACTATCACGCCTGGCTAATTTTTTTATTTTTATAGAGATGGAGTCTCACTATGTTGCCTAGGCTGGTCTTGAACTCCTGGCCTCAAGCAATCCTCTCATCTCAGCTATTTTATTTCAAATAAAGCTAATTCCAATTATCATTCCTTTTAGTAGGTTCCTCATTTTATCATTTCAAACATCTTATAAATGTAGATTTAAGTGATAGGCTTAGTTTTCTTACTCTTGCTACATTTTTCACCACACAACTTTTCAGATTATTACTTAATCAGAACTATTTCAAGTAGATTAAAAAGTACTAGGTGACATGGATATGTGATATTCCAACTCATGAGTTATGAACCGTGTATGTCATTAACATATTTATAGGAGGAACAAAATAAAATACACTGCCTTGGCCCCACTGAGTATTGTACTAACATTTTGGGCAAACCGTTTGGATGAAGAATACCCAAGTTCAAAAAGAATTATTATCTAGTTCTATAAAAAGAATCTATGTAAATTATGAACAAAATGTCATGCTTACTAATAAGCTTAATCTTTTCCAGTGGAAAGGCTTGTTCTTGGTATTCTCAGTAGATCCTAATATGTCCATTAACAGTGGCTGTTGCTGAAGAAAAGGACTATCAGAGGGGAGAGAGACTTTTACTTATCCTTTTATACCCTTCTATTCATTCAACTTGGTTTTTGCTTTGGTTTTTTGTTGTTTTGCCCCACAGAATAATCACTTTCATAAATCAAAAAAGAAAAATTGTTCAGCATCTTCAGGTTGCCTGACTGTAGTGGGAAAAAAAAGTAAGACATAGCACTCAGATACTTATGGAAAATCTCCCAGGTGCCCAATGGCTTATTTTCCTAAGAGGACACATTATTGAAACTCATATTACACACTAAAATACCAATTATTAGTGCTTGGGAGATTAAAGAGGTAGGTAAATGGAATAATTTAAAGTCCTATTTATTTAGCAACTACTATGTACCAGGGCAGGCACTGGACATTTTTTTCTAACACTTGAAAAAGGTACTATTATCGAAATGATCAGCAAAGTAAAACAACTTGTGCTAGAACTGGAATTCAAATCTGGACCTCCTAGACTCCATGACCATAATCTTCCTACTATACCTCAATACCTTTTACTAGAAAAAGTCAAGACCTAGATGACAATAGTAGTGAATGGTCAGAGATGTGACTTACTGCTTATGTCTTATTTGTCGTAACAGTATTACAGTTTATGTTATTTCCATTAAAAATTACAGATGTATTTGCAGTTAACATAATGAAAGATTGTCGGTGTTAAGGTTCAATATGTCTATCTTCATATAGGATACTCACTAACCCACCTGAAAACATGGAAGAAACCAGCTCTGAGTTTCCTGTTTTTATCAAATTTGTTCCTCGCCCTTTATACTGGTTTAGTTCATCAACGAGGTACTCTTGATGTTATGAGTCATATTCAAAAAGTTTGTTACAACAATCCCAATAAATCTTCAGCTTCAATATTTATAATGATGCCTTGCCACTCTACTCCTTATTACAGGTAATAACAGATGTTCCACTATATGCTGTTAAGAAACTGAAACTGACTACTTTAAAATTCCCTTTCAGATTCCTGGATTTGAATTAATTGGTCATTGATCAAATGATAAATTTTAAACTCCCACTCATATTTATTCACTGATGGATTTTAAAAACCACTTGAACTGTGTCAAAGAAGACCTTTTAAATAAACTTTATTATTCTTTAAAAACAATTTACTTACACTTAATTCTGATTTAAGTCAGTATAAAACAATTTGTAGGTATTTGATAGTCTTCTTAGTAAAGAAACTTATGTATTACTTACCTTACTACAGATCTCTGTGATACATCTTTACATAATCTGAATTAAATTTAAAACATAAGATTTTAGTCCAGATCTACTACTGGACTATTGCCCTCATCTTAAACTAGAATTTTTTTTTTTTTTTAGACAGAGTTTCACTCTTGTTGCCCAGGCTGGAGTGCAATGGCACAATCTTGGCTCACTGCAACCTCTGCCTCCTGGGTTCAAGTGATTCTCCTGCCTCAGCCTCCTGAGTAGCTGGGATTACAGGCATGTGCCACCATGCCCGGCTAATTTTGTATTTTTAGTAGAGACGGGGTTTCTCCATGTTGGTCAAGCTGATCTCGAACTCCTGACCTTGGGTGATCTGCCCACCTCAGCCTCCCAAAAGTGCTGGGATTACAGGCGTGAGCCACCATGCCCAGCTTTAAACTAGATTTTTAATCTCTTTGGACATCAGTTGTCTCACCTATAAAAATTAGGGAAAGCAACTAGATGATATTCTAATGCTTGAATTAAGTGTTTCTGGGAAATAAACTAAAATTGCCTCAACTATATATGGCCTTTAGAAGGACATCCGTTTTGTCCTGTGCTTGTATTTCAGGAAGCTGTATTAGTTACCAATTACCCAATAATGGTACAGGGGCAAAGGAGCCAGATTTCCTATGGAAAATTATATACCAGGCTGGGCGTGGTGGCTCACGCCTGTAATCCTAGCACTTTGTGAGGCTGAGGCGGGCAGATTGCCTGAGCTCAGGAGTTTGAGACTAGCCTGGGCTACATGGTGAACCCCTGACTCTACTAAAATACAAAAGAAATTAGCCAGGTGTTGTCGTGCATGCCTGTAGTCCTAGCTACTCGGGAGACTGAGGCAGGAGAATCGCTTGAATCAGGGAGGCGGAGGTTGCAGTGAGCTGAGGTTGTACCACTGCACTCCAGCCTGGGCGACAAAGCGAGACTATGCCTAATAAATAAATAAATAAATAAATAAATAAATAAAATCTGTAACTCAGTCTGGCTTTAAACAATCTGGAGTTAATGTCTCATATGCACGTTCAATTAATTTAATCACTGTGGTTATCATTTTAGGAGAATTTAACACTTGGAATACTCCTACTTAACTAATCATTAATGTCAGTCATTAATATACAGTTTAGAAATTGAGATCCTAGCAAAAACCACAGGCTAAATGAAAGACATCAGGTATCCTTTCAACGTAAGGATTCCCTACTATATGTGTACGTGGCTAAAACAGGGACATTCATTCTCTGTGCTCACATTAGGGGTAATACTGCAGAGAACAGGAATCCTAAAGGTACCAAGATGTTCTTTATACATACTTGTAGTCAGCTGATGTCTTAGGCTTTGTACAGTTCACCAAGTTCTCCACACCTTTTCAAAGCACACAACAGAGGAAAAAGTCTGATGCCTATTTTGCATCAGACTTAGAAGTAGAGAGCAACGTATGTCCATTGATTAACATCCAAACAAGTAATGGTTTTATTGTGGCAAAGAAAGACTACAGTAGGCCGGCAGCTTTTATATAAGGCAGGCAGCTTTTTCTGAGGAATTTCTGCTTCCCTTCGAAACAAGACCTTCATTTCCAATAAATAAATCACTATTAGGTCTTGTGTACATTTAATTTGTATGCATTTCATAAATAAAATAAACCTCCTGCATAATTATTAACTTCATTTCTAACTGGAAATTTTAAATGTTTGTTATCAGTGAGGTTTAATTTTTCCTAAGGCAGTTATAAACATGGCTTTTTTCATGACCTAAGTAACTGGCTTAAATTGTCATAACTGGTATTAGAAATGAATCCATCTTTTTTATACTTTTTTTTTTTTGAGACAGTCTTGCTCTGTCGCCCACTGGAGTGCAGTGACGTGTGATCTCAGCTCACTGCAACCTCCGTCTTCTGGGTTCAAGTATTGTCCTGCCTCAGCCTCCTGAGTAGCTGGAACTACAGGCACATGCCACCATGCCCAGCTAATTTTTGTACTTTGAGTAGACACAGGGTTTCACCATGTTGGCCAGGCTGGTCTTGAACTTCTGACCTCCAGTGATCCACCTACCTTGGCCTCCCAAAGTTCTGGGGTTACAGGCATGAGCCACTGAGCCCGACCTACTCTAGTCTTTCTATGCCACGATAAAACCATTACTTATTTGGATGTTAATCAATGGACATATGTTGCTCTCTACTTCTAAATCTTATATAAATATATAAGAAACACACACACACACTTCAAACTTGCCATGTGGCTGGGTGCGGTGGCTCACACCTGTAATCCCAGCACTTTGGGAGGCCGAGGCGGTAGATCACTTGAGGGTCAGGAGTTCAGGACCAGCCTGGCCAACATGGTGAAACCCCATCTCTCCTAAAAAATACAAAAACTCAGCCAGGCGTGCTGGCGGGCACCTGTAATCCCAGCTACTCAGGAGGCTGACACAGGAGAATTGCTTGAACCTGGGAGGTGGAGGTTGCAGTGAGCCGAGATTGCGCCATTGCACTCTAGCCTGGGTGACGAGAGCGAAACTCTGTCTCCAAAAAAAACAAAACTTGCCATGTAAGCATGTGATCCATCCCCTATCAGAGCAGAAAGGGAAGAGAGAAAGAATCCAGTTTCCTACTTTATCAAATACGCCTATGGAGAATAACTTTACTATTAACAAGTAAACTTACCTGGTCCTGAAGACCATTTACGCTTCTGGAACAGAATACCAATGCTACAGAATGTTGAGTCCCCCTACTGACCTACTTCTCTCCTTGAAATGGAGTTCTATGAGCTAGTTTGGGCTTGTAGATTATACTGCTGCTGATGCATAGGTACATGGTATGAGAATCATGTTTTTTATTTTTGAGAAAATGAGTTAAAGGCTTGCTTCTTAACTGCAACAGTTTATGGATTCAGATTTCACATTTTGCTAAGTATATAAATGACTTATCTTAAGATTAATGAAAACTTTCATGTTTTACTTGTATTTATTTATGGTAACTTTTCTTTTCATAGCCATGTTCACTGCCCACTACCCATGAGATTTCTCCAGTGCCCCCCAGACCTGACTGGAAAAAGTCAGTATCTTGATGAAGCAGATGTATTTTACCTAAATCCCTTAAACTGGTTACATAGAGAGTTTCATGACGATGCATCACTGCCTACTCACTTGATCACCTTCAGCATTTTGGAAGAGGTAAGTAAACATGAAAAAGAGGAAATCTCAGTATTTTAATTGTATCCCAGGTTTAGGAAACCCTCAGGTAAACAGATAATACAACCTTTTTTTATGGTCTGTTGCAACCCACATTTCATAATTAGTCTTTTCTCTAGTCAAAATAAGCCCCAGTTCTGTAACTATCAAGGTATTTTACTTCCTATAAGTTAATTCTGTTATTAAGCAAAAAGTTGTAGAGAACAATTAGAATAGGCAATTCTAAAATTGACTGAAACAGTACTCAGCAAAACGTAGCCTTTATTTACTTAAACATTTATTTGCTTCTAGGAAATAAGTGCTTTCCTAATTTCAAGCAATTATAACAAAACTGCTGTTTTCTTCCACACTCACTTGCCGGAGGGTCGAATTGGAAGTCACGTATATGTCTATGAACGGAAGTTAAAAGGGAAATTCAACACAAAGATGAATTCTGAACTTTCTGAGATAAACTAACATTGCTGGGTGGAAATATTCAGATGCTGCTTAAATACTTCAGTAAACACTGGGTAAGATTCGTGGAACTTAGAAAAAAACTGTATGAACTGCTTTACCAAATATCACTACTGAGGAAATGTATAAAATACCACATAGTATAAAATCACATGTTAATACAATGCCAGATTTTAAATAAAGACCTTTAGTTTTCCTCATGGTGTAGTTTTATTGTTTCTTCGACAATATTCGGATGTGCAAAAAATTTCACAAGAAAACAAGTCAGCAAGCTCTTAAGAGGGCAGCAAATTCTTCACAAGTCAGCAGGCTCTTGAACCCACAAAAAGACAAGAAGTGAGTGTAAGATTATAAAATGTTAATGATGAAATTCCAGCACAATGTACTTTTCTCAAGCTCTGCTGCAAATTTAACACAAACATCAGTGTTAATTACACTTTGTCATGTATGATTGAGCTTGCTTTAAGCTCTTACACTGAAAGGAAGTCTCTTTTCATGCACAAAATCTGTTGCATGCCTGGCTTCCTTAATAAAACTACAGTTGAACATTTCCAGTGTCAAAAAAAATTCAGCGAAGCTAAACTACAGGAAAATGCAGGTTAGTAGGCTTTTAACTAATGCTTCTGAGTAATAATATAAAGTTATCAAACTGATACTTAGAAACAAAAAAAGACATTGTCATCTTGATAATTTCATTAGTTTCAATACCAAACATTGTACAAAGTATATGTTTCTCTTACAGTTGTCTAATTTAACTCAATTGTGAATCAGTATTTAGGATCAAAAGGTAATTGCCCCAATTCTATTTCAAGATTTGCCATTTGTCTTCCATTAGTGCGACCATATTTATGCCATTTACCTTCCCTTTTATAAGGCTGTGGCTGAAGGTGCTTCTGTTCTTGTTTTCGATGCCTGGAGTTTTCAATATTTACCATACGTTGCTTTTTATCAGGTCGACTGAAAGCAGTAAACACATTTTTCATCTATGTTAGAGTTCAATGTATTTAAATTTTAAACAATTTTAAATGTTTTCTCCATTAATCTATTATCTGAACACTCTGAAAAAAGATATTAAATATCTGAATTATAATCCTAGTATATCCATATAAAAATAAAGGAGTCTGTATTAGTTTTTTTGTCCTCTAGAAAGAAAAAATAGACAATAACTCCACTGGCAAAAAGGGGAAACACTCAAAAGATAACAAAGAAAAGAAATGTGACAATAAAATAATGAGATGTGTTTCCATTATTTTTCCTCCTTTCCTATAAAAATCAATCCCTCCCCGTTGGCTTTATCACTCAGCAGAAATACATACACATCTCTCACAAACCAAGCAAAACAAAAGTCTCAACTTTTTCTCTTACAGCAAAAGCTCACAACACCTACACCGCTTTCCTCAATGTCTATGATCAGGCTTCCGTCACTACTTCACTGGAAGTCCATACTGCCATCCCCTGGCCGCCCAGTTTCCAAGCCAGGAAAACATTTTCCACACATCAACTTTTTAAAAAGCATGACACATTTATTCCTTTTACTTGAGATGGCCTTTGGATTTTCATGATACCACTCCCCACTCTTGTCCTTAGCCTTCCCTACAACCCCGTAGATGTTGGTCTTCTCCCAGGAGTCTGATATACAGTCTCGGCAAGAGATGACCATAGAACTGCCAACTAACCCTCTCCACTTGAATGTTAGTAGTTACCTCCAAACACAATTCTCATCTCCAATTACCCTTGCCCCAAACCTTGAATTCCCTATCTCAATGGTACTACTATCCAACAAATGACCCAACCCAGAAATCTAGAAGTCACAGTTACTTTCTCCTCCTTCACAAGAAATGTCAATGTTACTGTTTTCCAAATGTTTTCTCCTTTCCTCTCCTACTACTACTGTCCCAGTTTAGATGCTCATCAGCTCATGTCTGTATTGTGCTGACCACCTTCTAGCATCACACCTTTCCCATCAATCTTCTAGGCTGCTGCCTATACACTAGTCCCGCCTTATCCACGGCTTACTTTCTGTGATTGAGGTTTTGGTTACCTGTGGTCAACTGTGGTCTGAAAATGTTAAATAGAAAATTTCAGAAATAATTCGTAAGTTTTAGGCAGGGCACAGTGGCTCACGACTGTAATCCCAGCACTTTGGGACGCGGAGATGTGCAGATCACTTGAGGTCAGGAGTTCAAGAACAGCCTGGCCAACATGGTGAAACCCCGTCTCTACTAAAAATATGAAAATTAGCCAGGTGTGGTGGCACACGCCTGTAGTCCCAGCTACTCGGGAGGCTAAGGCAGGAGAATCACGTGAACCCAGGAGACAGAGGTTGCAGTGAGCTGAGATCGTGTCACTGCACTCCAGCCTAGCTGACAATGCGAGACTCCATCTCAAATAATTAAAAAAAGAAATAATTCATAAGTTTTCAATTATATGCCTGTTCTGAGTAATGTGATGAAATAATGCAGTTCTGCTCCATCCCACATGGGGTGCGAATCATCCTTTTGTCATGTATCTACGCTACCCACCCATTAATCACCTAGTAGCAGTCTGTTAATCAGATACACTGTTATCGTACCACAGTGCTTGTGTTCAAGTATCCCTAAGATAAGGATTATTAAGGATGATTAAGTAACTTAATAATGACCCCAAAATACAATAGTGATGCTTGCATTTGGATATGCCAGAGAAGCTATAAAGCACTTCCTTTAAGTGAAAGGGTGAAGGTTCTCAATAAGAGAAACAAAAGTATGCTGAGATTGGTAAGATCTATGGTAAGAACAAACCTATGTGTGAGACTGTAAAGAAGGAAAAAGAAATTCATGCATATTATATATAGAATTATGTTCTATCCTTGGTTTCAAGCATCCAGTGGGGGTCTTGGAACATATATCCTGAAGATAAGGGGGGACTACTGTAATCTAAAATACAATATAATCTTATCCCACCACCTTGAAAATTCTTCAGAGGTTCTTCATGTCCTACAGGACAAAACCTTTAGCATAAAATGGGTCCCTTCGTGGTCTGCATCTCTTATCCTCCAGCACTACCTTGCTTCCTTAAAGTAGTGTATCTTCACATCCAAAGAACCTTCCTTTTAAGTGAAATTCCCTTCCCTGTCTGCATAGCAAATTCTCATTTCTCCTCCAAAAGCTACTTTAAAAACTAAGTTCAGTTAAAAGGCCACCTCACTCAAGAAGCCTTTCCAAACATCTCCAGACAGCCTGAGGCCACCATGCCCCCATACCTTAATTTCATTTATTTACGTAGCTTGTGAGCTCCTTTGAAGCAAAAATTTTTCACTTGTCTCCTCAAGGAAGCCTCACCTTTGTTCATTATAGGACTAGATACCTGCTTAATGACTAAAGACACCAGAATCAGTCTCATTATTTTATAGACACATTATTATTTATTCAGAAAGGTAAGTATTTCATAGGTAAAAAGTGAAGCTAACATTTTAAGATTAGGTAAGTTTCATGTGACAGAATATAAAGATGAAAATGGATAAAAAATTATTATGAGGTACACACATTAGAATTTGACTTGCTCAGTTGCCTCTTTGATTGTGCCTCTACCTTTATCAAAGATAATTATGTGATTAAGTATTAAGTATCATAACTAAGCTGCTATGTGGAATGGACAAGTGAAAATAGGTGGGGCATTCAAATTATTATATATGAGCTCTTCTGACTTCAGAGTAAAATTTGTGTTGCTCACTCCTAGCTTCCGAAAGTGAATAAATACATAAAAGATTAAAGGAAAATAATTTCGCTTAAGGTGATCTTTTCATTACAAACTATACTGAAAAGAAACAAAGTTGGCCAAAATAGGATTTTATATATTCTTAACTGATTTTTAGGATAAAAATTAAACCATTTGCTCAAATCAAAGTGATTACATTATAATGAAATGTTCCATTTGTAACAGCTAATAATTTTTAGACTCCACCTTTCAATTTATTCTGAATTCTCTCAGTGGCAATAAAGCACAACTCTTAGAAACAGTAACCTTCCAAGAAACTCATCAAATCATAAAAATGCTATCCAATCTACAAATGTTACAAACTACTGTAATGACATGGTTTTATGTAAACCGACCTGGGTCCATATGGAGGGGAAAAAGTGTGACCAAAGAAGTGTCTATATATATATTCATCCAACTTCTCAAATACTCCATCATTATCTACTTGATATTCCTTCATGTTTCTAAGATAATCTTTAACATCATTAACAAAGTCAGTGAAGAGCTTCCGATCATGTATAAAGACACCATTTAGGAAAAACTTATTGATGAACTGATCAAGTTCGTTCCAGTGACAGAAAGTATCCAGTTCTTTTAACATGTACCTTTGAATTATCTGTCTAAATTCGTCCATCCTTATAGGATTCACCACTGTGTTAAAAAGGCTCATGGACTCTTGTTGAGCACAATCAAATACACCAGAACAAGCCTTTCTGAAAGAATAAGAATTGTCTCTACAATCATGCCCAGGACTGCATTTCTTTGAATTTGTATTTTTCCTGAATTCTTTAAAGTGAACTGGCTTTTCTTTCCTTCCATCATTTTGCATAGTAGGGCCTCTATTATGATGGTTGTCTGTAGGTGCCTTATACTGTGGATGTAAATAGTCACTAAAAACTGTTCTTGCTTTTTCAGCTGCTTCTTTTGTAGCACCAAATCTTTTATTACCCTTTTCATCAAAGATATTCTTGGTGGTATCTTTAAAATGTCTGAAAGTGGATTTAACTGAGTCTGAGAATTTTTTCAGATTTTCCTTCACAGCTTCTTTAGCCTGCTTAATTTTCTCTTTGTGATGCCTCACAAACTCCTTGGTAGAATTCTTCATGGCATCAAATGTTTCCTTAACTGAACCCAAAAATGTTTCCTTTGACTTATTTTTAGCCCTGTGGTTTCCTCTGCCCCCTTTCTTTTTTCCATCCGTTTCTTGTTTTCCACTTTGATCTTTCGCCTCAACATACAATCTTTCCCACAAATCAGAACGCTGCTGTTCGAAGGTTAGCTTCCGTTCCAGCTCAGAGAGTCTTTCCCGTAAGACTGCTATTTCCTTTTTTTCAGTGTATACATTGGGAGAATCTGACTTGCCATGTAACTGACTACCACTTAACTGCTGGAGTTCCCCCCTTAAAGCCGTAGTTACTAGTCGTTCTCTCTCCAGTTCCCTCTTTAGCATCTTTGCTTCTGCCAACAGAGTCTCTCTTTGACTAAGAAAGCTGTGTTTTTTCTGCTTTTCCTCTTCCAAATGCTGCTTAAGTTTCTGATTTTCTCTAACTAATTCAGTACTTGTCCCTTTATCTTCCAATATTCTAATCTGTTCTCTTAGTTTGTTTAACTCTTCCTGTAATGAGGATAAGGCCTTTTCTTCCTTCTCCAGAGATATTCTTAAATACTGATTTTCTGTAGCAAGGTTTGTTTTCTGAGTTTCAAAGGACATCTTCTCTGCTTCAGTAAGTGTCCAACACCTTGCAAGATTTTCTTTCAATGACTACGTTTTTTTTGAAAGAGAAGAAATAAAATGTCAAGAGCTTTAAAAGCTGAATTTAAATCTTTTAAGATATAACAACGCATAAGCTTTTGTGTCTTTACTTCTACAGAGACCACCCCGCCCCAGGTAGTATTTTCAATAGTATAAACACTGGGAAATACAACGTTCATATGCAAGAAAGCACAGAGCAGAGAGCTACATCAAACTGAGAACTACAGCATGGTGGAAGAATTTTCTTTTTTTTGAGACGGAGTCTCGCTCTGTCTCCCAGGCTAGCGTGCAGTGGTGCAATCTTGGCTCACTGCAACCTCTGCCTCTTGAGTTCAAGCAGCGACTCTCCGGCCTCCCAAAGTGCTGGCATTATAGGCATAAGCCACCGCGCATGTCTGGAAGAACTTAAAAGACAGAAAGTTAGCTACAGCTTGCAGGACTAAAGGTTTTTCTGAATTGGGAAGAGAGATTACCTTTTACAAAAGGTAAAATTATTGGCCGGGCGCAGTGGCTCACACCTGTAATCCCAGCACTTTGGGAGGCTGAGGTGGACAGATCATTAGATCAAGAGATCGAGACCATCCTGGCCAACATGGTGAAACCCCATCTCTACTAAAAACACAAAAATTAGCTGGGCATGGTGGCATGCGCCTGTAGTCCCAGACACTCGGGAGGCTGAGGCAGGGGAATCGCCTGAACCTGGGAGGCAAATGTTGCCAGTGAGCCAAGATCGCACCACTGCACCCCAGCCTGGTGACAGAGCGAGACTCCATCTCAAAAAAATAATAAAATAAAATAAAAAATAAAAGTAAAATTACATCAAGAGCTGACTTATGGCTTCAAAAATTGTTTGTACGCAGTGTACACTTCAAAGAATGAAATTCTAATAATCTTAGTCCTATTTGAAACATTTTGGTCCTATGCAATTAACATTTCTAAGTAAGTACAGATAAGCCATAAATTCTATAAGCATGTTAGAGGACAGACTGAATCTTGAACATTTATAACTAACTTATCCAATTTTATGTAAACTTTTGAAGTGACTGTCACCCAGATTACAGCAGTTCTGTAATCTGTATAATTAATATAACTCTGAAGATTAATCTATAGATTACTATAACTGAAAGTCAGCACCTGTGGTAGAAATCATGGTCAATTCGGCTTATAGAATTTTACTGCTTCGATAAGGGTATCCTTGACTGATTTGAATTTTCTTTCAAACATATGCATTAGTAACAAAATTTAACCAAAAACAGTCAAAACTTAAACAATGTGGTTCAACAAGTTCTTACAGCATTATCCATCCAGTTAAAAATATCTTATGTATAAATCTGCAAAATGATACTTAAATTTGGCTTAATTTATCACAAACGTTATGGTTAGACCAGTCAATTACCTGGGTTCAGAAACAAGCAAAAAAAAAAACAAAAAAACAAAAAAAAACAGTCCTTTAAGAGAATGACACTATTTTATACTTGAAAAATAACTATCTGAAATGACTGCTTCACTTTCTGGCTCATTAATCTTCAGAGAACAAATAAAGATTTAAAATTTAATCACAGTCATTTCATCTGCTCTACCTGTATGAGAGAAAAGAAGTTTCTTCTACCCAAAAGCAGTGGACTGTGGAGTAGAAGAGACCGATACACTGGTGTGGCAAACTCTTGAAATGCACAAGCACAGGAAGCCACAGGATGAAAGAAGAGTACAGCATTCCTCATGCAGTAAATATGATGTTGATATAAGTGATTGATAAGCAGATCCTGACCAGGTCTTCCAAAGAGCTTCAACATCTACCTGATCCACACTTAACAGCTAGAAACAAGAGATCTGCAAAAACTGACTCACTAGGTAGGCACAGTGGCTCAATCCTTTAATCCCAGCATTTTGAGGCCAAGGCGGGAGGATCACTTGAACCCAGAAGTTCCAGAATAGCCTGGGCAACATAGTGAGACTCCATCTCTATGAAAAATTTAATAAGAAAGTTGGACATGGTGGCATGTGCTTGTGGTCCCAGCTACTTGAGAGGCTAAGCCAGGAGGATTGCTTGTGCCCAGGAAGTTGAGGTAGCAGTAAGCCATGATCGCACCACTGCCCTCCAGCTTGGGCAACAAGAATGAGACTCTGCCTCTTAAAACAAACAAAAAACAAACAAACAAAAAAAAACAGGCTAAGTGCAGTGGCTCATGCCTGTAATCCCAGCACATTGGGAGGCTGAGGCAGGCAGATTACCTGAGGTCAGGAGTTCAAAACCAGCCTGGCCAACATGATGAAACCCCATCTCTACTGAAAATGCAAAAAATGAGCCAGGCATAGTGGAGGAAGCCTATAATCCCAGCTACTTGGGAGACTGAGGCAGGAGAATCACTTGAACCCGGGAAGCAGAAGTTCCAGTGAGCTGAGATCACCCCACTGCATTCCAGCCTGGGCCACACAGCGAGGTTCCATCTCAAACAAACAAACAAATCCAAACCCAAACCAACTACAAATTCTCTCTAGAGATTTATGCGTGGTGAGTTTTCCAAAAGCCAATGTTATCCTATGGAACCAGAAAACATTGTGGTGAAGAAAATGGCATCTTCTAATACAGGTAGGAAAAACTGAACTATTTATAATTAACTTCATAAGTACCTCCCTGTGTCTACAGCCATACCACCCCGAATGCGCCCAATCTCCTCTGATGGCAGAAGCTAGCCAGGGTCTGGCCTGGTTAGTACTTGGATGGGAGAAGTACCTCCCTGAAAGATACAATTTAGTTACAAAGTAGTATTTTTGTCTTTTCAAGAAATATAACCTGTAAGGGAAGCATACATAAATTAAGTGTGAGAATTGGGGGTGGAAAAATGGAGGAAAAAAACAATAGCTTACTTTTCTTCCTTTTCCTTTTTTTTTTTTTTTTGAGACATGGTCTTCCTCTATGGCCCAGGCTAGAGTGCAAGAGCGTGATCTCAGCTCACTGTAACCTCTGCCTCCCAGGTTCAAACAATTCTTGTGCCTAACTAAGCCTCCAAAAATCTGGGATTACAGGTATGTGCCACCACAACCGCCTAATTTTTGTATTTTTAGTAGAGACAAAGTTCCACCATGTTGGCCAGGATGGTCTTGAACTCCTGGGCTCAAACAATCCACCCACCTCCGCCTCCCAAAGTCACCAACTTTGGGAATTTGGGAGGTTGTCACCACGCCCAGACACAGCTTACTTTTCTACCCTGAGTTTCTCTCTATATCCTTCCTAGGGAAAACTAGATAGGAAACCAGCCATTTTGCTGATCCTCATAAACCTCCAGGGGTGTTGGGGAATGACACAACGGACAGTACAGTCTTGTGAGACAAGATCTAGTGAGTTATAGGCAGAAAAACATAACATGCTCTCCCTTCCATCAGAATAAAAAAAAAAAAAAAACAATGAAAAGAAATGGCTATGTCCCCTGATCAAGAGAAGATCTTAGAGAGGCTATAAAACCACAACTCTCCTCTTTCCCTTCTGCCAACTGAAAATGTCTGATTCACTCTGAAAATAATGCTAATAAAAATATCTATATACACATATAAAATGTCACTTTTAAAAGATGTTAACTATAAAATAGCAGCTAGGGATAAGAGTTCTTAAGTCAAATCCCTGGAATCAAATTAGCTCTCCAAAACAAAACAAAACAAAAAAAGGCCGTGGCCGGGCACAATGGCTCACACCTGTAATCCCAGCACTTTAGGAGGCTGAGGTGGGTAGACTGAGGTCAGGAGTTCGAGACCAGCCTGGCTAACATAGCGAAACCCCGTCTCTACTAAAAATACAATAAAACTAGCCAGGCGTAGTGGCGCACACCTGTAATCCCAGCTACTTGGGAGGCCGAGGCACAAGAATCACTTGAACCCAGGAGGTGGAAGTTGCAGTGACCTGAGGTTGCACCACTGCACTCTAGCCTGGGCAACAGAGCAAGACTCCATCTCAAATAAATAAATAAATAAACAAACAAACAAACAAAAACAAATTAGCTCTGCCAGTTGCTACCTTGGGAAAGTCCCTTAACCTTTCTAAACCTCTTTCCCACCTATGAAAGTTAATAATTGCTTAATTCCCATGTTTTGAGAATAAGAGAAATACTCTATATGGTGCACTCATGACTGACTAGGACACTGTAAGTACCCGTATTCAATTCAACAATGATTTGCATTATTTCTGATTTACTAATCTGCACTACTAAGCACAATAAGCTCTAAGTAATAAGCACAATAATTACTAACAATTATTTTAAATATTTGTTAGTGGTACATACCTTATAATCAACGAAAGATTCTTGTTCCTGTTGACACTGGGAAAGATAATCCTTCATATCATTCAATTCATCTTCATGTATCTTTCTGACTAACTGTTGACGCTTCTGAATCTGAATTGTGCCTAAAATAAATATTTTTATTAAGGGTATATAACATAATTATTATCATTCAATGTTTTATTTATTTTTAAACATTGGTAATCTGCATATAAGCTATGTAATCTTTTTTTTTTTGAGACAGAGTCTCGCTCCGTCGCCCAGGCTGGTATGGTCTCAGCTCACTGCAACCTCTGCCTCCTGGGGTTCAAGCAATTCTCGTGCCTCAGCTTCTCGAGTAGCTGGGACTACAGGCAAGCGCCACCATGCCCAGCTAATTTTTTATAGAGACAGGGTTTTGCCATGTTGGCCAGGCTGGTCTCAAACTCCTGGCCTCAAGTGATCCACCCACCTTGGCTTCTCAAAGTGCTGGGATTACATGTGTGAACCACTGTGCCTGGCCATAACCTATGTGATCTTAACAATCATTTTATTCAGAGTATCATCAGCATTTCACCATTCTTTAAAAATTCTGATTACATAAAGAATAAGTAACTAAGGCTGGGCACGGTGGCTCACGCCTGTAATCCCAGCACTTTGGGAGCCAAGGCAGGTGGATCATTTGAGGTCAGGAGTTCAAGACAAGCCTGGCCAACATGGTGAAACCCCGTCTCTACTAAAAATTAAAAAAAAATTTTTTAAGATAAGTAAGTGAAAGCCCATGATCATTCATCAGATGATGGTGAACATTTACGTAATATAAGGCCAAGTAGGCCAGTTTTTATAAACATTTATTTACATATACCCAGGAACATTTAAGCAGTTCACTATCTTTTGTATTAAAACACACAGGCCCGCCCATATGGCTCTAACCAAGAGAACAATTTATGTAATGTTCTTATCTTACTATATTGAAGGCACTCAGCTTTGTTGTTTTGGGGGTTATCTTTAAGTACAAAAAGTGTTTCAGCCTCCTTTATACAGAGAAATGAACAAACCCTGGTGTTTTTTCACAGGTCATGAAGTCAATAAGGAAAAATGAAAACCTTTTTTTTTTTTTTTTAATATTTTGCCTAAAGGATACAACAAAGCCCAAAAAGTACAGCACAGAAAATAATTGGCTAATGGTGACTGTGCACCATTCTCAAAGCCAAATTTGTTAAGAATTCTGCAATGGTTAAATCTGTACTGGAGTAGCACTGTCCTTCTACCAACAGTGATAAAAGAATCGGACAGGCATGGTAGCTCACGCCTGTAATCCCAGCACTTTGGGAGGCCAAAGCAGATGGATCACCTGAGGTCAGGAGTTCAAGACCAGCCTGACCAACATGGAGAAACCCTGTCTCTACTAAAAATACAAAATTAGCCAGGGCATGGTGGCACATGCCTGTAATCCCAGCCACTCGGGAGGCTGAGGCAGGAGAATCGCTTGAACCCGGGAGGCAGAGGTTGCAGTGAGCTGAGATCATGCCACTGCACTCCAGCCTGGGCAACAAGAGCAAAACTCTGTCTCAAAAAAAGAATCTTAAACCAACTAGGATTCTTCATATTTTCACCCTAAAAATCAAAATGTTACTTTACTCAGACATGCTGTTCACATGCTTCATGTATGGGGGGAAAAAACCACGAAATCAAAAATAAGGCAAAATGCAGTTAGCTACCTTAACATTACATCTACTAAGTATAGATACTATAGAATTTTACAAAGAAAGGATGCAATGATCACTATTTCTTCCCTTACTGCTATAAAAATTATTTTAAATGTCTTCAATACATCTTGAAAAACACTAAAAACAACTTTTGCCAATTTACAGATAACGGTTACATATTCTAGCTATGGTATTCTGTGTTAGAATTCATTTCCTCTCTTTAGATTTCCCAATTTATAGAAGCATGGCAAGCTTGTTTCAAAACTACTCAGAAGAATCCCAGATTTTTTCAAATGTTGAAGGAAATTTATCTATAGTTCCCAGAGTAACAGAAAACTTCTGCAATTTCTATTTCAAACTGCTAAGAAGATTCATTCCTTTGCCCACTGGAAAATAATCTAAAACTGTGTTGAGGTCTGAATTCAAGATAGTATAATATAGCATATGCTTGATTACTGTCTTAATGTGGCCTTTTACAGTATTACTGACTAATCACTTGGGGGTTTTTCCTGCACCTTCGGCTGCCTAAAGTATTATCCTCAAGATACAATCTTTGGCCTAGTCATGTCTACAAATGCTGCCTATTGTACCATGTTGCACCACTGTCAGATTTTGCTATCACTCCTATTAAGAATTCCAATCTACAGATCTAGTCTTAACTTCATCAGGCTCTAACAATCCAGCGTAGGGGCCTCTTGTAGGTGGGGGAAAAAAAAAATCAAACCTCAACACCTGCCCCAAACCAAACCAAACTGTGCTTACCATCTATTTATCATCTGGCAAAACTTCCCCAGTAACCCCAACTCCAAAAGTGAAGCAGCTAGCACATTTCCTACAATTTAATAAACTGCCATTATTTTCCATTATTCCTTCAATATCCCTTATTCCATTCCCACTGTTATTCCAATCGTCAAGGTCCTCCTCACCAAATATCCAGATTACAGAACTCCTAACAACTATTCTACATTTTCCCATACCACTTTTTCCACACCAGCAAAACGTTCCGGCACTCTTTTTCTCTAACCTGATAGCAGGTTACTCAATAAATCAAACTCTCCTATCGATTCCAAGATGTTTTACAATATACAGTTGACCCTTGAGCAACGTGAGTTTGAACTACATGGCAGGATGCAAAATCCAATGGCAGGATGCAAACTCCACGTATATGGAGAGGTGACTTTTCGTGTATGTGAGGTCCGCCGTCAAGGGACTTTAGTTTGTATGGATTTTGGTATGGGTGCCTCCTGGAACCCATCCCTCATGGACATCAAGGGATGACTATAACAGCACCCCACCCACTCCATTATTTCTAAATACCTACTCTGCTATAGTCCGGGCAGTCTTTTCACTGCTCCCAAACCCAAGATTACTTCTTCCTCAGGTTATCAGATTCTCTATTGCTGGAATGTTCTACCTTCCTTGAGTCTATCATAAACTTACTATGATTAGACACAATTTAAATCTTACCACCTCTATTTCTTCACCAGTCCCTGATATGCAGTAGGAGCTCAACGAATATTTGCTGAATGAATTTAATGTTAAGTGAAAAAAACAAAAACAAAAAACAAAAAAACAAGGTGACTCCAAGAATAGCCCCAAATGCAGAAGTTTGTCTGTTACATACACTTACACTCAACACCTTGGCCATGCCTCTTAGACCTACAGTCTTGCCGGGGTTTCTTTTCTTTGGGTTTCTTTTCCTTGGCCATGTCTATTGTGTTGAAGGACATTCAGAGTCCATTCAAGGGCACATCACTTTTGACTACAGCACAGAAGAATCTTGGAGTACAAATCTCCTATTTAAAAAAATATTTTAGGGCCGGGCGTGGTGGCTCAAGCCTGTAATCCCAGCACTTTGGGAGGCCGAGACGGGCGGATCACGAGGTCAGGAGATCGAGACCATCCTGGCTAACACGGTGAAACCCCGTCTCTACTAAAAAATACAAAAATCTAGCCGGGCGAGGTGGCGGGCGCCTGTAGTCCCAGCTGCTCGGGAGGCTGAGGCAGGAGAATGGCGTAAACCCGGGAGGCGGAGCTTGCAGTGAGCTGAGATCCGGCCACTGCAGTCCAGCCTGGGCAACAGAGCAAGACTCCGTCTCAAAAAAAAAAAAAAAAAAAAAATTTAAAAAATCTTCTCCTGTTCAAATCATTTCTCCTTGAGGAGCAATTGTATCACCAGCCAATAAACGTCGGTTGAAATAAATGAATTGAACTATTTAAAAAAAAAGAAAAATCTTACCACCTCTGGGATAATTCAGTAAGTGTATGCTTTGAGCTGTAATTCATTCTGTGCTCTATAACTTAGCATCTAGATATCTTGTTATATAATAGTCTGCCGAAGAGCCAGGTAGTCTATCAATACTTCAAGCAACTCAAGGAGAAAACTAAATCAATTGAACTCCATTGATGATTTGGAATGTTGATAGTCACAAGTAAATGTAAGAAGAAAGACTGCTTCATTCATGAAACTTTTTAATAAAACTTCTGAAAGCATTTTCAGATGGAGTACACTGGAGTATACTGCTTCACTATCCTTAGTCTTGCTAGCTTTCTCTTCCCTGCAGTGTAAATCTGCCAATTCAAATTTGTATGGCACCAAGGCTGACAAATGCAGAATGATTCAATTAGTAGTATGGTATTGTTAAATTATTATAAAGCGGGCCAGGCACAGTGGCTCATGCCTATAATCCCAGCACTTTGGGAGGCTGAGGCAGGCAGATCACTTGAGGTCAGGAGTTCAAGATCAACCTGGCCAACAGGGCAAAACCTCATCTCTACAAAAAATACAAAAATTAGCCAGGCGTGCTGGTGGGCGCCTATAATCACAGCTACTCGGGAGGCTGAGACAGGAGAATCGCTTGAACCTGGGAGACAGAGGTTGCAGTGAGCCAAGATTGCACCACTGCATTCCAGCCTGGGCAACAGAGCAAGACTGTGTCTCAAAAAAAAAACAAAATTATAAAGTGAATGAATGACTATGGGATGCAATGACCAACTTCACGGTGAATGGGAAATTCAAAATGGCTCTGAAATCAACTCCAAAGAATGTTGAGATCAGTGCTAAAATTAAAAAATGTGATGTCTTGCCAGGTGCGGTGGCTCACACCTGTAATCCCAGCCCTTTGGGAGGCCAAGGTGGGCAGATCACCTGAGGCCGGGAGGTCAAGACCAGCCTGACCAATGTGGAGAAACCCCATCTCTACTAAAAATACAAAATTAGCTGGGCATGGTGGCACATGTCTGTAATCCCAGATACTCCGGAGGCTGAGGCAGGAGAATCACTTGAACCCAGGAAGCGAAGGTTGCAGTGAGCCGAGATCATGCACAGCACTCCAGCCTGGGCCACAAGAGCAAAACTCTGTCTCAAAAAAAAAAGTGATGTCTTTTAAGTAGTGATTTGGAAAAGTCATCTAGGTTAGGTCTTATATGTTAATTAAATTAATCTCATGACTATAAGGCCTACTTCATAATATATTATCCAGGCTTTTCATATTCTGAAAAGGCTAATATGAAGTAAAGGACAATGTTTTATTAATTAACTATTAAGGTAAATTTTACTAATAACCAAAATCCTACATAACAGAGAAGTAACTTCTCATTTTGAAAGCACTCCTGTAAAATGACCTTTCTACAAAATATTCAAAGGTCATGTAAATAGTGAAGTTTTAACGCAATTTTGATTAACACTTTAAATCACTATCCAATTTTTTTTGAAGAAAAAAAGATTAAGATAAGATCTTCTCCTTTGTTACTCTCATGCTTACCTGTGGAGGGAAAATCATACTCAAATACATATCAATTAATTTGTTTCAGCTAGTCTATAAAGGTAAATATATATTTCCAATCAAATCTTATTACAACAAATTTCAAGAAAGGATACAAATAACAGTATCTCAGTATTAAATTCAAACAGGCATCAATCAGAAATCTAAATACATATTTTTATTAATATAAATACAAGAAACACATCTTACAAGCTCTGACTTTAAACAGGTATTGTCTTCATTAAGTCTATTCTAACATTACGCTATGTTGAATAATAAACCTTTTCCACAAATCCACATAGGATACATGTAATTCTTCAATCTTTGCATAAGAAATACATTTTTCGAAGGAACTAGCAAAATGAAAGTTAGACTGTGGATTATGCAGGCAAAAAAATCTAAAAGTAGTTAATATAAAGGAAGCTAAAATTCGAGAATTTGACAAGATCTAAGACATTTCCTTTTAAAGTGTCTCTACCCCAAATTCCAATACAGCAAAGAGAGTCAAAGTTCAGGTTTCAAATACTCCAGTCATTGTACAAATACATACCTTAAATAAGAGATTCAGGCCAGGTGTGGTGGCTCATGCCTGTAATCTCAGCACTTTGGGAGGCTGAGGCAGGTGGAGCACCTTAGGTCAAGAGTTCAAGATTGGCCGGGCACAGTGGCTCACGCCTGTAATCCCAACACTTTGGGAGGCCAAGGCAGGTGCATCACAAGGTCAGGAGATCAAGACCAGCCTGGCCAAGATGGTAAAACCCCGTCTCTACTAAAAACACAAAACAATTAGCCAGGCATGGTGGCGGGCACCTGTAAACCCAGCTACTCAGGAGGTTGAGGCAGGAGAATTGCTCGAACCCAGAGATGGAGGCCGCAGTGAGCCGAGGTCGCACCACTGGACTCCAGCCTGGGCGACAGAGTGAGACTCTGTCTCAAAAAAACAAAAAAAAAAAAGTTTCAGACCAGCCTGGCCAACATGGCAAAACCCCATCTCTACTACAAATACAAAATAATTAGCCAGGCATGGTGGCAGGCGCCTGTTACCCAGCTACTCGGGAGGCTGAGGTAGGAGAATTGCTAGAACCCTAGGGGTGGAATTTGCAGTGAGCCAAGATGGTGCCACTGCACTCCAGCCTGGGCGACAGAGTGGGACTCCGTCTCCAAAAAAAAAAAAGAGAGAGGTTCAATGGGTGAGGCTCCTAAATGAGAAAGTAAAGTAACACCAATGGAATACCTTCCTCTTCTCACCCAAAAGGCATTTAAAGGCTTTGAATTGATAAGATGATCAACATATATAAATAGTATCAATCATAATAAAGAGCAAAGTATAAGAATAAAGATGAAAACCTCTCAATTCATGTGAATCACAGAAACAACAATGAAAGTTACAAAGTATGATACTTACATGAAACCTCAAAGTAGAAATAATGAACACTTACTATTTCTACATTTCAAATGTAACTATTTCAACTGCGATTTAAATAATCTTCCTAATAAACTCACACTTCAACTTAGTTTAACTATGATTCTAAATGTAAATGATTTCCCTCATGGTGAGCATTTCAGATTTTTAATCTTCCATCTTTTAACTTTAAAAGAGTCACAAATATATGTGGTTATTATCTTTACATTTATTAATAACTACTACCTTATTTAAATAAAAACCTTTGTGAGATAGGCAGCACCCACTTCCCGAATGAGAAAACTGAGGCTCAAACAGGCTTCAAGTTTTCAAGGCCATATATTTAATAATGGCACTGAAAACACATCCCAGGATTCCTCACTCTTAAGTGCCTCTACACTATCCCATCAGGTTACACATTTTTGAATACTTACCATAGAAATGTCCAAATCCCATGCTGATTGCAATCACCAAAGCAAGTATAACACACTTATTGAGACCACTACTGAACTGACGTTTACTCAACTCCTTAGAAGGTTCGGTTTCTTGTTCAGCAACTAGCCGGTCTTCAGATTCTGAAGTAGAAACAGTCTTCTTCCTAGCACGGCGTCGTCTAAAGGCAGGGCTGGGCTGGTTACTGGTTTCATCACTACTTGATTCATCGTCACTAGGCTGAGATGAAAATACTATTAAGAAAAAAGTTGACATTTAGCTATTCAAAATCTTGGAAATGCTTTCCCAGTAAAAATTATTTAGAATAATCAATGCCATCCCTTACATGCCTTTTTACACGAGATAGCCAAAAACAAAAACCAAACAACATAAACAAAAACACAGGTTTTCAACTCATCTACATAAAGCCAAAACATAAAGCATTTCAAATGTGATACACAAGAATCTGTTAATCATATTCATTTGTGCGTTGAGAGCCTATCTCTGGTTTTTTTTAACCCTCCTCGCCTTATAGTTTACACTATTAGAATAATCCTTCATTCTCATAGCCTCAAGTTTCACAGTTGGCCAGGAGCGGTGGCTCACGCCTGTAATCCCAGCACTTTGGGAGGCCGAGGCGGGCAGATCACCTGAGGTCAGGAGTTCAAGATCAGTCTGGCCAACATGGCGAAACCCCTTATCTACTAAAAATACAAAAATTAACCGGGTGTGGTAGTGCACCTATAGTCCCAGCTACTTGGGAGGCTGAGGCAGGAGAATCACTTGAACCCAGGAGGTGGAGGTTGCAGTGAGCCGAGATCCTGCCACTGTACTCCAGACTGGGAGACACAGCATAACTCTGTCTCAAAAGAAACAAAATTTCATTGCTATTACAGGTATAAACAAGTATTATTTCTGGAAAGAGAAAACAATACTCTCTGTCTCTTCATTCAGTTTCAAAGAGGTAATTGAAGTGCAACTGTTTAAGGAACACAGGAAAGTACACAAGCATTTCCTGTGACTTATAAAGTAAAATAACTACCAAGTTTCCTTGGGTGTATCTGGTCTCTAGTTTCATTTCTAACCTGATCAGCCCACAATCAAGGTTCAAAGCATTCTATTTTAACATAGGTTTCCAGAAGTCAGATGAGTCCTTCCCTTCGACTGCCACTCTTACTAGAAGGTTATTAATTTTACCCTCTAGTAAATATGTCAGCATGAGGAAGTGACACAACAGCTATCTCCGATATTAAGGACTATTCTGGTGCTGGTCCTATATGAAAATAATAGTAGAGAAAAGCAAACTGGTGGGAAAAATCTGCACAAGAAATCCTAAGTCCAGGAAACAAATTCCCTGGAAAAATCACCTTCAGTTTTTTCCGAATGCATTAATTTCTTAACACGGTTCCATATATCAACAAACTGTATGTTGACACAGAAGCTTCGATTACTCAGAAAAATTTCCACAAGCTACTTAGAGGAAAAGCACTAAAAGGAAGGATAAAATATGAACTTGAATGCAAAGAGCTCTAAAACAACAAACATTCATGCTCCAGAAAAGCAAAAACAGTTCTTCAGAAGACAGGATATCCATGCCACAGGAAAGCTGGTGATTTAGGTTAGGCAATATTTTTCAGAGATGGATCACGGAGGATTCAGTTCACTTTCACACTTACAACAATAAACACAAAGACAGAAGGCACTACTGAAATGAATGAATATTCCTAATATTTAGTGATACAGATGCCACTGAGAGATCTTTTTGGTCATGACCCTTATGCCCATCATGTATATCTGGTTATTCTTGATCACTAGTTTTTCAAAGATGCCGTCGCCTCAGGTGTGAGGTTATATTTCTTGGACAAAGAGAAAGAAAGGAAGACTTAAACAAAGCATTACATAATACAAAGGCATTCATGATCATGGTTAGAGTATTTAAGTCAGGTTTTCTGACATAAAATTAAGATAGGTAAATGTAGAAACAAACCATCTGTAAAACTTCTTTAAACAAATGTTCAATTCTACATTAACATTGCCTTCATTACATATTCTAACAAAACAGCTTAACCCATATTAATATATTCATGTCCTTATCTAATGCTTCCAACTTTTTTAACCCATACATATAATAGCTAAAATATTTTGATTTTTAACTTCTTTTAAAAAAGCTTAATTTGGCCCATAGATGCAAGCAATGCAAAGGCATGCAATAAGCTTGGCCAGTGCCTTTACAAGAGATTCTGAACACCTGTTTAGAGTATCACAGATGACAACAGGTATCTTTAAAGCACTCGGTAAATAGTAAATGTGACTAGGCACACTCAGCTCTAGAGAAGCTGGTCAGAGTTAGTCACACCACCTTGGAAAGTGAGTTGGCTAGGAACATGGTGTTTCAGCTGATCATCCCATCCCCATATGCACTCAGGAATCTTCCACAGCTTCTCCCACCACCTTTCTTTTGTGAATAAACAGGAAAAAAAGATGCATAAAGCTATATTATAAAGACTAAAAAGAAAAAAAGAATTAAAAATACTTAATTATCACTTAACATTGCTATCGTACTAAATTAAAATATAATAATCATGCCTTCTTAAAAACATACACAATACAAACTCTACACTACCAACTTTGCTTTTTGTCAGGAAAGAGAGTTCATATAGAGGAAGCACGTAGTGTTCTTAACCCAACAAAACCTACACTGCCACAAGAATGTAAGTCAGGAGAAGAAAAAACTGAAGTTGAAATCTTTAAGGATGAAGAAAGGGAAAGGAAAAAACACAATTAAGCAATGGCTATAGCACAAAATTAACAAACCAAAAGGGGAAAAACAAAAACTCTTTTTTTTTTTTTTTGAGACAGAGTCTCCCTCTATTGCCCAGGCTAGAGTGCAATGGCGCAATCTTGGCTCACTGCAACCTCCGCCTCCTGGGTTCAAGAGATTCTCCTGCCTCAGCCTCCAGAGTAGTTGGGATTACAGGCCCGCGCTACCACAGGCAGTTAGTCCCAAGTAGCTGGAATTATAGGCACCCGGCTAATTTTTGTATTTTTAGTAGAGAAGGGTTTTCACCATGTTGGTCAGGCTGGTCTCAAACTCCTTACCTCAGGTGATCTGCCTGCCTCAGCCTCCCAAAGTGCAGGGATTACAGGCATGAGCCAACGTGCACAGCCCCAAAACAAAAACTCTTGGCAACTGGTTTATATGTAGTGTTTTCAGTATAGTCCAAAATTTCGTCTTTTTTTTTTTTTTTTTTTTTTTTTTTTTTTTTTTTTTTTTTTTTTTTTTTTTTTTTTTTTTTTTTTTTTTTTTTTTTAAACATTTGGTTTATTGAAACAGTATCTTTAGGAGGAATAACAATGGGTAAAAAGATAATTAATCAAATATTCCTCTTAACTCAGTCTACAAAAATCTCAAGAAGTCAGAATTCAGAAAGAAGACAAAAGAAGAATGAGTTTAGAAGTATGCAACTTCCTGAAAAAAGTTAACAATATGTAATTTCTTTCTTTTTTTGAGATGGTGCTGGGATTACAGGCATGAGCCACCATGCCCGGCAATAGTATGTAATTTCTTTTATGTCTATGTCAGTTTCTTATATATCTGACCATTCTGTAATACTCCAGCTTCAATTTGACTTTTCTGGGCCATGAACATTATGGAATTAAACCAGAGGCAAGAAAGGAAGGGGGCAAAAAAAAAAAAAAACTACCTGAATACAACACAAATTCCAGAGTTTAAAAAAATAATAAAATTTGATGACCAACAAGGATTCTAAAATCAATTACGATATCCCTCCCTAAATAAATATACTATGAATGCTATTCTAACAAAGGCTGAATTTTCCTCTGACCACCAAGAATGTCACCTGAATATTCAAATAGCTGGATAAAGTGTTTTCAAGTTCATGTTTATAGGCAAACCACTGATATACTAGCTGAAAATAACTTCTCATTAAATGAGATAGCCAAGAATCTCTATTTTTTTTTTATTTTTGAGACAGGGTCCTGCTCTGTCACCCAGGTTGGAGCGCAGTGGCGCAATCTCAGCTCACTACAGCCTCAACCTCCCAGGCTCAAGCAATCCTCACATCTCAGCCTCCCAAGTGGCTGGGAACACAGGCGCATGCCATCATGCCTGGCTTTTTATTATTTGTAGAGATGAGGTCTCGCAATGCTGCCCAGGCTGGTCTCAAACTCCTGGGCTCAGGTAATCCACCTGTCTCGGCCTCGCAAAGTGCTGGAATTACTGGTGTGAGCCACTATGCCCAGCCAAGAATCTCTACTTGACATTTTATTAGCTAAACTGGAATGACAGAAATTATATTGTCTGATTCTGGTTGGCAAATGTAAATATTAAAGAATGGTAAAATCTAAAAAAATTACCTAAAATAGATACTACACGTTTCCTGTTTTTCTGTCAAACTAGGAAATTTTTACAATCACTAGCAGTGTTTCAAGTTGTCCCTGCCATCACTCACCCTTAGTTATAATTGTGGGTTAATAACTGATATTTCCAGGAACTTTATATTTACATACTTATATCACATTAAAAGATGTTATACACACTGCTAAAACTGAGCTGAAGCATAGTGGAAAGAAATCAAGCAACTCACACTTTAATCTCCGAATGAGTCTGTCTGTACAACGGGTATTGATTGCACTAAAAATGTGACTTAACACTAGTGACATTTTCATCACAGAATCTAAAACAAAAGCTCTGAAGGTCAGGAGCTTTGGAAGACTAGCTGTATTGACAGCACCTTGAACACTGTCTGGCATATGGTAGGTACTCAATAAATGTTTGTTGCATGATTAATAATTGAATATATTTGAAGAGACTTTAATAAGAATTTTTCTTTCACTATTTCTATAATACAGAATGTATACTACTGCAAGCAAAAATATTAACATCCCCAATCTCCCAATCTAAAAAGCACCAAATGAATTTTGGAGCATTTGTGATTTTTAAAAAACCTCACTGAAGCAATTTTGCCTTCTATTTAATGGCAAAAGATGGTTACTGTTATAGCAAAAGATTGCTATGCTCCAGAACAGTCCAGGAAAACACTAGGTATTAATAGATTTCACACACAAAATAGTCTTGAGTTTTACCCAAACATATTCAAAACTAGAGACTAAATTATTAGGGGTAGAAAAAAAGTCCTTATATAAAATGTGGTCGTACATGTCTTTATGTCTCTTATCAGTGTATTCTTACCAGTTTCTGGCTGACAGAAAGTATACTGGCTGCTAGAGGAAGAGCCCATGTTAAAGTCTTCTGAACTCTGTGCTTCTTCAACAATGACAACTTCTTGATTTCCAATTTCTTCTAACTTAGGTGGCTCAAGGGTAACAATATCAGAATCATCACTGGCAGTTCCAATATAGATACCGTCTTCAGGTATCTTTTCTTCCTCTGCCTGAAGAACCATAATTTTAGAGATGGTAAATCAACAATGATTTAAGGGCCTTATATTCTCGTAGAATACAACAGTGCTAAGTATTATAGTAATCTGAGTTAAAATAAAAGATACGATTCCTCCCATTAGTAAAGAATTACGCAATAGTAGGCTCATCATATAGCTTGAGAACACTATCAGATCCCTTGACAACTCTCAGAATTAGATCAGACCACCGCGTTCTCCTAGTGGGCTGCAGAAGCTGAGAAGCCCACCTTTGCTCCTCAATAACCACAGAAAAAAGAGTTCATTTCTCTCACGAGTTCCATGGGTCTATTCGAGCACAACTCTGTAGCGTGGGAGCCCAAAAAAGACTCACTAAACTTTCTGGGTTATGTATGTAATAAACTTCAACAGCTGTATCTTGTACTGAATGTGTCTGAAGGTGTCCCCAAAAATTCCTAGGCTGGAATGTAATCGCCAGTGTGATAGTACTAAGAAGTGGGACGTTTAGGAGGTGACTGAGTTATAAGGGATCTCCCCTGGGAATATGATCAAGGTCTTTATAAAACAGGCTTCATGCAGCATCCAGCCTTTTTTCGCTCATCTCCTCTTAGAGATGTAGCAACAAGACGCCATTTGGAAACAAGACAGCATGCCATCAGCAGACACTGAGGTTGTCCACGCTTTGATCTTAAACTTCCCAGCCTCTGTAACTGTGAGAAATAAATTTCTGTTCTTTATAAATCATCCAGTCTCAGGTATTTTGTCAGATCAGTACAAACAGACTAAAACACCATGTAAAATGATCATCTAGCTATCTAGTTTTATATAGAAGTCAGGTAAAACCCCAAAGGACAAGTCTTAGGTTGTTACCAAATTTTAAAACGAACCATCGTTTTAGACGTGAAACCTAACAGGTTAATTGTTCAATATAATTCAAGAATGCAATCTACTTCCAAAGAGAATTATATTAGAGGTGAAAAGATAGATCTTTAACACAATACCAAGAAATTACTTTGCTTAGATGTCTTCTAAGACATCTAACTTAGAAGTCAAAATTGCTTATAATTCAAAATAGGAATAGAATGCATAAATAGAGTTAGAGGCTTTAATTAGTACTCTAAGGATACTATTTAACATATATCCATAGAGTAAAATACAAGTTTACCTCAATTGTTGAGCTGGTTTCCTCCAAAGCTGGATAAGCAGTTTCTTCCATAAGCACTGTGCCATTTTCGCTGCTTTCTGATACAAAGCAAAGATCAATATAATTATTTCTTAATTTAAAACTCTCTATAGACTTTCTGCAGCCAACATATAATCTGGGTAGATAAAAATATCTTCCTGCCGGGCGCAGTTGCTCATGCCTGTAATCCCAGCTCTTTGGGAGGCCAAGACGGGCGGATCACGAGGTCAGGAGATCAAGACCATCCTGGCTAACACGGTGAAACCCCGTCTCTACTAAAGACACAAAAAATTAGCCAAGCGTGGTGGCGGGTGCCTGTAGTCCCAGCTACTCAGGAGGCTGAGGCAGGAGAATGGCATGAACCCGGGAGGCGGAGCTCGCAGTGAGCCGAGATCGCACCACTGCACTCCAGCCTGGGTGACAGAGCGAGACTCTGCCTTCAAAAAAAAAAAAAATTTCTTCCTAATATGTTAGAGTAGATTTAATGAAATGTCACATACAATTATAGAAGTCACTCCACTGTTGCTAATAAATTTTATTTGAAATTATCAGGTGATAATTTAGATAAGAAAATGCAATTATTTAAGCTTTTTTTTTTTTTTCTTTTTTTGAGACAGAGTCTGGGAACTCTGTTGCCCACGCTGGAGCGCAGTAGCATTATCTTGGCTCACTGCAAACTCTGCCTCCTGGGTTCAAGTGATTCTCCTGCCTCAGCCTCCTCAGCAACTGGGATTACAGGCATATGCCACGGCTAAATTTTATATTTTTAGTAGAGATGGGGTTTCGCCATGTTGCCCAGGCTGGTCTCGAACTCCAGACCTCAAGCTATCTGCCCACCTTGGTCTCCCAAAGTGCTGGGATTACAGGCATGAGACACCGTGCCCAGCCACAAGACTTATTAAGAACTCAAATCAAAACTACCTTGACTAAGTAAATAAAACCTCTACCTTACATTGCCAAATTACTTGATCCAGTGTGTTTCTTAATACCTAATATGAAAAAATCTATCATTAGTACCTAGTGATACATTTCCTGCATTCTTAAAAGTTTATTCAAAGTTCCTAAAGACCATTCGAATGGCTGTCAATGCCTGCTACCGTAAGAATAAAAACCATGGCTTCAAACTATTATTTATAAAAGTATATATGTATATGTACGTGTGTGTGCGTGTGTGTGTGTCTAAATGCTTTACAAGAAAACATAAACTATAAAAAGGACTCAGGCTGGGTGCAGTGACTCATACCTGTAACCCTAGCACTTTTGGGAGGCCAAGGCTGGAGGACTGCTTGAGCCTACAAGTTCAAGACCAGTCTGGGCAACACAGCAAGACCCTGTCTCTACAAAAATAAAAATTAAAAAATTATTTGGGCATGGGGGTATGTGCCTATAGTCCTAGCTACTCAGAAGGCTGAGGCAGGAGGATTACTTGAGCCTAGGAGATGAGGCTGCACTGAGCCATGATCATGCCACTGTACTCCAGCCTGGGCAACAGAGTGTGACCACGTCTCAAAAAAAAGTTGGAGAGAGGGGAGTCCAGGCACAGTGGCTCATGATGTAATCAAAGCACTTTGGTAGGCCCACATGGGAGAATTACTTAAAGCCAGGAGTTCAAAACCAGCCTGGGCAATATAGTGAGACCATTTCTACCAGCAATTTTTTTAAAAAAGAAAGAACTCAAAACACAGAAAAACGAAATGTCACTACAGAAGAAGTATTTTATAAGAATCTCCTCAAAGAAAATATGTACAAACAGAATGATGACCTCACAATATATTTTTAATGAAAAAGAGCATAAAGGTTGGGCATAGTGGCTCACATCTGTAATCCCAGGACTTTGGGAGGCCAATGCAGGTGGATCGCCTGAGGTCAGGAGTTCGAGACCAGCCTGGCTAACATGGTGAAACCCCATTTCTACTAAAAATACAAAAAATTAGCCGGCTGTAGTGGTGCACGCCTGTAATCCCAGCTACTCAAGAGGCTAAGGCAGGAGAATCACTTGAACCCGGGAGGTGGAGGTTGCAGTGAGCCGAGATCACGCCATTGCACTGCAGCTTGGGCAACAAGAGTGAAACTCTGTCTCAAAAAAAAAAGAGCATAAAATATTAAGAAAAGTTAAAAATAATATATCAATTTATGAGCAAAGTATACCAAATATCAACAGTACTTACTTCAAGATAAAAGAATTATAGGCCATTTTAAATTTCTTTTGCTTACTATTATTTTTTCCCTATCATGAACATGCATTTCTTCTGTAATTTAAGTCCTGTAAAGAACGGGAGTGGGGGGGGGAATTATTTTTCAGCATTATATAGCCCCAAAAGAAAATGTATTAATTTGGAGGTACGATTCTGCCACAGTACTGGGCTGGGGTACTGGGATCGGGCGCAGTGACTCATGCCTGTAATCCCAGCACTTTGGGAGGCTGAGGCGGGCAGACCACAAGGTCAGGAGTTCAAGAGCAGCCTGACCAACATAGTGAAACTCCATCTCTGTTAAAAATACAAAAAAATTAGGCCAGGCACAGTGGCTCATGCCTGTAATCCTAGCACTTTGGGAGGCTGAGGCAGACTGATCAGGAGGTCAGGAGTTCGAAACCAAACTGGCCAACATGGTGAAACCCCATCTCTACTAAAAATACAAAAAAAAAAAAAAAAAAAAACCCTAACTGGGCGTGGTGGCGGGCACCCGTAATCCAAGCTACTCGGGACTCTGAGGCTTGAACCTGGGAGGCAGAGGTTGCAGTGAGCTGAGATCATCGCGCCACTGCACTCCAGCCTGGGTGATAGTGCGAGGCTCTGTCTCAAACAAAAAAGAACTTTTCTTTAACATATTCAAATAAATGCATTTCTTGGAAGAAACTGTCCATAGCTTTCAGATTCTCAAAAGGATCTCTGACACACAAAAGCTGAGAATCACTTTTCAAATGAGAGTAGTAATCAACATGTAGGCTTAAAAAAGTTAACAGGTATAATCTCTTCTATTTCTGGACTTGACACATCCACTTTTTTCTCCTGAGGGGAAATGTTCTGTATGCATTTTACTGTAATACTAAAAAGTTAATGAGGTAATTTAAATATGAACATAAGTGTATGCAGCAATTGTTCAGGAGTCCTATTTCTCTACATAAATAATCTGTGCATCAAATCCCACAGGAAGTATACATAATACAGATGCAATACAGTAGTCAAATTCCATTTTATCAAATTGGAACCAGAGTACAGGCATATCTCAGATATACTGCAAGTTCAGTTTCAAACCAATGCAATAAAGCAAGTCACATGAATTTTTTGGTTTCCCTGTCCATGTAAAAGTTAGGTTTACACTATACTGTAGTCTATTAAGTGTGCAAACACATCATGTCTAAAAAACTGTACATACCTTCACTTAAAAATACATTATTGCTAAAAAGTGCTAGTGATCATCTGAGCCTTCAGTGAATCTTAATACTGTTGCTAGTGGAGGCTCTTACTTCAAAGGTGATGGCTGCTGACTGACCACTGTGGTAGCTGCTGAAGGCTAGAGTAGCTAGGGCAATTTCTTTTTTTTTTTTTTTTTTGAGACAGAGTCTCGCTCTGTCGCCCAGGCTGGCGTGCAGTGGTGTGATCTCCGCTCACTGCAAGCTCTGCCTCCCGGGTTCACACCATTCTCCTGCCTCAACCTCCCGAGCAGCTGGGACGACAGGTGCCCGCCACCACGCCCGGCTAATTTTGTTTTTGTATTTTTAGTAGAGACGGGGTTTCACCGTGTTAGCCAGGATAGTCTCGACTGCAATTTCTTAAAGTATAACAACACTGAAGTTTCCCACATGGATTGACTCTTCTCTCATGAAAGATTTCTCTGTAGCATGCAATGCTGTTTGATAGCACTCTGTCCACAGTAGAACAACTTTCAAACTTGGAGTGAATCTTCTCAAACCCTGCCACTGCTTTATTAACTAAGTTTGTGTAATATTCTAAATCCTTTGTTGTCATTTCAACAATATTCACAGCATCTTCACCAAGAGCAGATTGCATCTCAAGAAACGACTTTCTTTGCTCATCCATAAGAAGCAACTCCTCACCTGTTCAAGTTTATCATGAGATTACAGCAATTGGATCACATTTTCAGGATCCACTTTTTTTTTTTTTTTTTTGAGCCGAAGTCTCGCTCTGTTGCCCAGGCTACAGTGCAGTGGCGTGATCTCGGCTCCCTGCAAGCTCCGCCTCCCGGGTTCACGTCACTCTACTGCCTCAGCCTCACAAGTAGCTGGGACTACAGGCGCCTGCCACCACGCCCGGCTAATTGTATTTTTAGTAGAGATGGGATTTCATCCAGTTAGCCAGGATGGTCTCCATCTCTTGACCTCATGATCTGCCCACCTCGGCCTCCCAAAGTGCTGGGATTACAGGCACGAGCCACCACACCCAGCCAGGATCCACTTCTAATTCCAAATCTCTTGCTACTTCTACCACATCTGCAGTTCCTTCTTCCATTAAAGTCTTGAACCACTCAAAGTCATGACGGTTAAAATCAACTTCTTCCAAACTCCTGTGAATGTTGATATTTTGACCTTTTCCCACAAATCACAATTGTTCTTAATGGCATCTAGAATGGTGAATTCTTTCCTGAAGATTTTCAATTTACACACATTGCCCAGATCCATCAGAGCAATCACTATCTACAGCAGCTACAGCCTTACAAAATTCATTTATTAAATAATACAAGCTAAAAGTCAAAATTAGTCTTTGATCCATGGACTACAGATTGGATGTTGTGTTAGCAGGAAACAAAGCAACATGAATTTCCTTGTACATCTCCATCAGAGCCCTTGGGTGACTGACCACGTATTACTATACAACGTCTAGTATTTTGAAAGGAATATTTTTGTTCTGAGCAGCAGGTCTCAACACTCAGCTTAAAATCTTCAGTAAACCATGTTGTAAACACATGGCTGTCACCTAGGCTTTGTTGTTCCATTTACAGAGCACAGGCAGAGTAGATGCAGCATATTTTTTAAAGGCCCTAGGATTTCTCAAGGCATGGTAAGTGAACACTAGCTTCAACTTAAAGTCACCAGCTACATTTGTCTCTAACAAGAAAGTGAGCTTGTTCATTAAAGCCTAGAAACAGATACCGACTTCTCTCTAGTTAGGAAAGTCCTAGATGGCATCTTCTTCCAATAGAAGGCTGTTTCATCTACACTGAAAATCTGCTGGTTGGGGTAGCCACCTTCATCCATTATGTCAGTTAGATCTCTTGGATAACTTGATGCGCCTTCTACATCAGCACTTGCTACTTCACCTTGCACTTTTATGTTATGGACATAGCTTCTTTCCTTAAACCTCATGAATCAACATCAGCTAGCTTCAGCCTTTCTTCCTAAAGCTTCTTAACCATTCTCAGCCTTCACAGACTTGAGAGAGTTAGGAAGGACCTAGTTCTGGATTAAGTTGTGACTTAAGGGAATTTTGTGGCTGGTTCAATCTTCTACCAAGACCACTAAAACTTTCTCCATGTCAACAATAAGGTTATATGGTTTCCCTATCATTCATGTGTTCACTAAGGACTTTTAATTTCCTTCAAGAGCTTTTCCTTTGCAATCACAACTTGGCTAACTATCTAGTCCAAGAGACTTAGCTTTCAACTTAGCTTTCAACATGCCTTCCGCCTTCCTCAAATAAGCTTAATCATTTCTAGCTTTTGATTTGAAGTGAGAGACACTCAACTCTTCCTTTCACCTGAACACCTGGAGGCCACTGTAGGTTATTAATTGGCCTGATTTCAATATTGTTGTGTCTCCAGGAACAGGGAGGCTCAAGGGAGGAGAGGAAGAGTCAGTAGAGCAGTCAGAACACACACATTTATTAAGTTCACTGCCTTTCATAGGCACGGTTCATGGTGTCCCAAAGGAATTATAATAGTAACATCAAAGATCACTGATCACAGATCACCGTAACAGATATAATAATAATGAAAATGTTTGAAATATGACAATTACAGGCCAGGCACAGTTGCTCACGCCTGTAATCTCAGCACGTTGGGAAGTTGACATGGGTGGATCACCTGAGGTCAGGAGTTCAAGACCAGGCTAACCAACACGATGAAACCCCGTCACTATTAAAAACACAAAATTAGCTGTGCACAGTGGCACATGCCTGCAATTCCAGCTGAGAGGCTGAGGCAGGAGGATCACTTGAACCCAAGAGGTGGAGGTTGCAGTGAGCCGAGATCATACCATTGCACTCCAGCATGGGAAACAAGAGTGAAACTCCGTCAATTCAATTCAATTCAATTCAATAAAATAAAAATAAATGAAATATTATAATTATAAAAATGTGACAGACATGAAGTGAGCATATGCTATTGGAAAAATGGCATTAACAGACTTGCTCAACACAGGGTTGCCACAAACTTCAATCTGTAAAAAATGCAGTATCTGCGAAGTACAATAAAGCAAAGCAGAATAAAATGAGAGGTATGTCTGTAACTCCATAACATGATAACTGGAAAAGAGATTAGTAAATCTCTTGTGATAAATGAATAATTTTTTTCTTAACTTTAATAATGACAAGTAAATACAAACTACCAAGCAAATGATAAGTAATAGAAACTACCAAACAAATTCATGTTAAACCATGAAACACTTTTTTTTGGTCACCGGTTACCTCCGTAGCAACAAAGTGTATCTGAAAGCTCAAAAACATACTACAGCTGCAAATAAACCCGTGGGGCAGGCTGTTGGCTCTGGGTTCTGTGGGCCTTCATTAAATCCACACTGAAGTTTTTTTTTTTTTTTTTTTGAGATGGAGTCTAGCTCTGTCGCCCACGCTGCAGTGCAGTAGCGCAATCTCGGCTCACTGCAACCTCCGCCTCCCAGGTTCAAGCGATTCTCCTGCCTCAGCCTTCGGAGTAGCTATGATTACAGGTGCCCGCCACCACACCCGGCTAATTTTTTGTATTTTCAGTACAGACAGGGTTTCACCATGTTGGCCAGGCTGGTCTTGAACTCCTGACCTCAAATGATCTGTCCACCTCAGCCTCCCAAAGTGCTGGGATTACAGGTGTGAGCCACTGTGCCCGGCCTATACTGTAAGTTCTAATCCTCCAATGACCACTTAGATTAGCCAGAAAGGCCACCCACCTGGAAAGAAGGTGCGACTCATAATATCATTCATATACTCTACTAAAAAAAAAAAAAAAAAATCAGAATTTGTGAACAACTTACCTCCCTGCTCTATCTGCAATGCTTGAAGTTCCTCTTGCTCTAAAGATGAACATTCTGGGGTGGGCTCACAGCTGTCAGCGGCTGTCACAGAATTTAACAGTTCTATATCTGACCCCTAGGGAAAAGTGATAATCTTTCAGTTATTTGCCTATTAGCTCCTCAAAGCTAGATTTGACTACATGTAAATGCTTCTTCCATTATTAAAAGTCTCAGATGCTGCCATACTCCAAGGGAACAATATCTAATCAGACAAGCTTTTGTTCAATTTAACCCACAAAGGCCCATGGCAGGAAAATGGCAGAATGGAGTCTCAGGTTTAAATTCTAAGTCAGGTCAGCCCAAAAGCGGAATGCTCTATTTTATGAACTCAAGCAATAAATTTGAATCCCAGAGAATAAGGGTCTAAATTTAGTTATTTCTGTAGTAATTTGTTTTGGCTTAACATTTATGGAACTATTCTAGACAAGGCACTTTGTTAGGTGTTGTAGGGTATAAAAAATTCAAATTCACAGCTGGGCAAGGTGGCAGGCGCCTGTAATCCCAGCTACTCAGGAGGGTGAGGCAAGAGAATCGCTTGAACCCAGGAGGCAGATGTTGCAGTGAGCCAAGATTGTATCATTGCACTCCAGCCTGGGCAACAAGAGCAAAACTCCATCTCAAAAAAAAAAAAAAAAAAAAAAAAAAAAAAAAATCAAAAATTCAAACTTACAACGTATTCAGAGAAACAGCCATATGCAAATAAGTACTTATTATGGCAATATAAACTAAAACTGTTTAAAGCTTTAATGACATGGATTAAATAAACCTATAGGGCTAATGAATACTCTCCTTATACAATTTTAGACTATCTTTTTATTCTGAGGTTATCTTTCCTACTTTGATGTCAGGCTGTCTCTTCATTAATAATAGTGGATCATACAATTTTTCTTTGTGTCTTAATTAGCAAAACAAAGTTAACGACCAAGGTGATTCTTTCCCTATGTCCCCACTATAGTCTGCTGACACACACGATTGAAAGGTCTGCATTCTCTTGATGTACATAACTCAAGACAGCAAAAATCAAAAGAATTCATGACAAAGCAGCATTTAAGATGAGCCCTAAAGAGAATTCTGGATGCAACACTCTTGAGGTTGTCTATAGTGGCAGGAGAATGGTAGAGGCTAAAGCAAAGTTAGAGTTGGATTAGTAACTGCTGGGGAAACCAATTCTGGCCCAAATCAGAACGGTGGTAATGGGAAAGGAAAAGGAACACATGTAAGAGACATTAGCAAGAAAGAGTAGATCCTGGAAAGCAGATATAGAAGAGAGATAAAAGTACAAATGTGATTTACTCTGGGACATAATGTCCAGTACAGAACACCCCAATGACATACTTGACTAAGTGCCAGAGAGGTCTGCTGTGATACTCCACCCTGCAGACCCACAGGTAAGACTACCATAGCTGCCTTGCTCCTGTATTGTTAATTATCCTTGAAGGAGAAGTTGCTATGGGAGTTGATCTAATCCTTTGAAGAAAACAAGTTAAAAATAGAAAAGTCACTGAAGATTTTAAAAAGAAAAATCATCTCAATCTCAAATGATACAGATGTTTTTAAATTTTGAAACTTTAACGCAGAAAAGGCAAACTTGTTTTTTCTGTTAATGTTTTCTAAACATAACTACCTGAACCTTAACTGAGAGTAAAAAAAACAATTTTTTTAAAATTAATTTTTAATTAAATTTTTTATTTAATTTTTAATAAAAAATTTTAATTCCGCCTCAAATTTTTTTTAAAAATGTTTTTTTTTTGAGCCAGAGTTTTGCTCTTGTTGCCCAGGCTGGAGTGCAATGGCACGATCTCTGTTCACCACAACCTCCGCCTCCCGGGTTCAAGCAATTCTCCTGCCTCAGCCTCCTGAGTAGCTGGGATTACAGGCATGTGCCACCAAGCCCGGCTAATTTGATATTTTTAGTAGAGACGGGAGTCTATGTTGGTCAGGCTGGTCTCGAACTCCCGACCTGGGGTGATTCGCCTTCTCCTTGGCCTCCCAAAGTGCTGGGATTACAAGTGTGAGCCACCACACCCGGCCTAAAACTTTTATTAAGAAAACAAGTGAGGCTTACAATACCCTAAAAACAAATGGGAAAATTATAGATAAGTCCATTAAAACCTAGAGTAAGTATATTTCTGTTTATCAGTATACTGTCATTTTTCTTTTCCTTTTTTTTTTGAGAGAGAGTCTGGCTCTGTCGTCCAGGCTGGCGTGCAGTGGCGCAATCTCGGCTCACTGCAAGCTCCGCCTCCTGAGTTCACGCCATTCTCCTGCCTCAGCCTCCTGAGTAGCTGGGACTACAGGTGCCCGCCACTACGCCCACCACCACGCCCGGCTAATACTTTGGTGTTTTTTGTTTGTTTGTTTTTCTTTTTTAATGAGACGGAGTCTCACTCTGTCACCCAGGCTGGAGTGCACTGCCGCAGTCTTGGCTCACCGCAACTTCCGCCTCCCAGGTTCAAGCGATTCTCCTGCCTCAGCCTCCGGAGTAGCTGGGACTACAGGCGCCGGCCACCAGGCCCGGCTTATTTTTTGTATTGTTAGTAGAGATGGGGTTTCACGGTGTTAGCCAGGATGGTCTCAATTTCCTGACCTCGTGATCCACCCGCCTCGGCCAATATTTTGTATTTTTAGTAGAGACGGGGCTTCATAGTGTTAGCCAGGATGGTCTCGATCTCCTGACCTAGTAATCCGCCCACCTCGGCCTCCCAAAGTGCTGGGATTACAGGCGTGAGTCACCGCGCCTGGCCAGTATACTGTCATTTTTCTTTTTTTTTTTTTTTTTTTTTTTTTTTGAGACGGAGTCTCGCTCTGTCGCCCGGGCTGGAGTGCAGTGGCCGGATCTCAGCTCACTGCAAGCTCCGCCTCCCTGGTTCATGCCATTCTCCTGCCTCAGCCTGCCGAGTAGCTGGGATTACAGGCACCTGCCACCTCGACCGGCTAATTTTTTGTATTTTTAGTAGAGACAGGGTTTCACTGTGTTAGCCAGGATGGTCTCGATCTCCTGACCTCATGATCCGCCTGTCTCGGCCTCCCAAAGTGCTGGGATTACAGGCTTGAGCCACCGCGCCCCGCCTTACTGTCATTTTTCTATAGTGAACATACATTACTGGCATGAGAAAATAAAATGTATAAGTTATGTATACTTGTTGTACATAGATCAATCTTCTATTATAAAATTCATTTTGTGGCGGGCGCGGTGGCTCACGCCTGTAATCCCATAACTTTGGGAAGCCGAGGCGGTGGATCACGAGGTCAGGAGATCCAGACCATCCTGGCTAACATGGTGAAATCCCATCTCTACTAAAAATACAAAAAAATTAGCCGGCGCAGTGGCTCACACCTGTAGTCCCCGCTACTCAGGAGGCTGAGGCAGGAGAATGGCTCCAACCCAGGAGGCGGAGCTTGCAGTGAGCCGAGATGGCGCCACTGCACTCCAGCCTGAGCAATGGAGTGAGACTCCATCTAAAAAAAAAAAAAGAAAAAATTATATGAAAATGAAAGTAAAGCACAAGGCCTGACCAATAATAAACCCTCAGTAAGTATTTGCCTAATGTCTCCAAGCTATGTACAATAATGTAGAAGATGCTGGCTCATGAAGAGTTCTCAGCAGTGAAGTTTAATACGAGAGGGAAAATGTCCATTGGAACTTTTTGCTTAAATGTAGAAAAAGACTGATCTTCAAAGAACACCGTTTACATCACTGGTAATATTAATATTACAAATTACCTTAGAAGAAAGTATTAAATATCATACCTCATGACTGATGACAGTCCAACCACAAGATGAATCACTGTCACTGGAATTTTCAGACATCTTTCAGGTCTACAAATACAAAAACATATTGACTTATGGGACACATTTTTTAAAATTCTATAGGAAGCACTATATGTGACACTAAGTTTGAAAAGTGGTTTACTGTCTTCCAGGTGAAACAGAGACAAGCCACCCATAAATTTACCATACAGAACATGACAGGACTGCATACCTATATGAACAGATGTAAGGAAACTTCTAAGACAAGGAGACCCTCCTAGACTAGAACCGTCTAGACAGTCATATTGTTGGAATGAAAAAGTTATGACTAAAAGAAAATGTAGCATTTGGCCAGAGGTAAAAGAAAAGGAGAATTGTGAATGGGGAGCAGGCAGCAACAGTGAAGGACTCTATTTTCAATGAACAGTAAGGTGTGAAAAACATGACTGCGGAAACTGAGAAGCAGAGGGAAACTGAAAAGCTCCTATGCCAAGAAAAAGGAAGTCTGTATGTTGGCAACATGAAGCAATTTACATTTTTCAAACAGAGAAGAAACATGATCAAACTGTTTTGAGACTGAGTCTCGCACTGTCGCCTGGGCTGGAGTGCAGTGGCGCGATCTTGGCTCGCTGCAACCTCCGCCTCCCGGATTCAAGCAATTCTCCTGCCTCAGCCTCCCGAGTAGCTGGGACTACAGCGCGCGCCACCATGCCCAGATAATTTTTGTATTTTTAGCAGAAATGGGGTTTCACTATGTTGGCCAGGCTGGTCTCAAACTGCTGACCTCATGATCTGCCCGCCTCGGCCTCCCAAAGCGCTGGGATTACAGGCATGAGCCACCCTGCCCGGCAATCAAACTGTTTTTATGAAAATAACTGTGTCAGCAATACTTCAGTTAGATTAAAGTTGGGGCGGTGGTGGGGAAGACACCAGAGGTTGGTTAGAAACATCTGGTCACTGGCAACAACCTGGACTCAAGCCCTTAAACATAGGGAAGCAACTAAACAACCCTAGACCTGTGGGATGCAAGGAAGCAACATAATATTCCATGAAAAAGCTGAGCATCTAAACTTAATCAGTGTTGATGAGGGAAAGGGTTTAGAAGATAGCGGGAAAGGTTTAGAAGAGCTCTGAGAAGACATGAAAGATTATTATTTTTATCATGATTTGGATGCAAGGTCTCACTCTGTCACTCAGGCTGGCGTACAGTAGTATGAACACAGCTCAAAGCTGCTGAGACAGGAAAATAGGGTCTGGAGGCAGGGTACATCAGGCCGATTCACACTTCAGCTATGACAGGAAATATCCTCTCCATAGGGCATACACCAAGGAAATGACTTTGTAACTTTACTTCACCTCTCCATTTACATAGGGTGTACACCAAGTAACCAGTGGAAACCTCTAGAGGGTATTTAAGCCCCCGCAAATTCTATAACAGTGCCCTTGAGCCCCTACGCTAGGGCCCGCCACCACACTGTGGAGCGTACTTTCATCTGACTTCATTCTTTCCTTGCTTTGTCTGTGTGTTTTGTCCAGTTCTTTGTTCAAGATGCCAAGAACCTGGACACCCTCCACCAGTAACACAGCCTTGAACTCCCAGGCTCAAGTAGATGCTCCCACCTCAGTCTCCCAAGTAGCTAGGACTATGCAGATATGTGCCACCCTGCCCAGCTAATTTCCTTTTAAGAGTCGGGGACTTGCTAGGTTGGTAGGCTGGTCTCGAACTCCTGGGATCAAGTGATCCACCCATCTCAGCTTCACAAAGTGCTGGGATTACAGGCGTGAGCCACTGCACCCAGCCTAAAGATTATTTTATTAAAGGACTGAATAACCAACTGTAGAAGGGCGAAAGTGTAGGATAGCTCCCAGGTTTCGGGTTTAAGTGACTGGGTAACTGGAAAAATTCTATATGAAATCAGAAGTAGGTGAGGGCTTTGTGATAAGAAAACTGGCTGAAGTCACTGGGAGCGGTGGCTCATGCCTCTAATCCCAGCACTTTGGGAGGCCGAGGCGGGTGGATCACGAGGTCAGGAGTTGGAGACCATCCTGGCTAACACAGTGAAACCCCATCTCTACTAAAAATACAAAAAATTAGCCAGGCGTGGTGGTAGGTGCCTGTAGTCCCAGCTACTGGGGAGGCTGAGGGAGGAGAATGGCGTGAACCTGGGAGGCAGAGCTTGCAGTGAGCCGAGATCGTGCCACTGCACTCCAGCCTGGGCAACAGAGCGAGACACCGTCTCAAAAAAAAAAAAAGAAAGAAAGAAAGAAAGAAAACTGCCTGAAGCCTAAAAAGCATTCTTTCTCAACTGTGTGAAAGCTTCCCTCCTTCCCTTTGCCTGATCCCATCTTCTAACAAACAGATTTCAAAAAAAAGGAAAACATATTACTGACTTGGGAGAACTTACCATACTTGAATTTCTCAAATCAAAAAGCCCACTTCAATCAAGCCCCAGTTTAATGGTTTGTTTACTTCCTTGAGGGAAAGATAACATTGAAACCAGCCAGTTATCCCACAGAACTTTTATGGTTTCTTTGAACAAATACAGAAATTGATCCTCTCAGTCTTAAAACTTGAGAAAGCTCTATTTGTGTTATCTAAGCTCCTTTCTTAGGAAACAAACCATAAGGCCTCCTAGATAGGGTCAAGAAGCTGAAGCTTACTTAACAGATGACAATGAGAAGCCAGACCCTGCATGATTGCTTAACTGACCACCTGTTGCCTGTTGACCAACTTCTCTTTCTCACCCCTCTCTAATTCCTGTTTGCCCACACATGGTTACATTTCTTCTCTGCTACATAAACCTCTAATTTCAGTCAGTCAGAGATGGATTTGAGACTGATCTCCCATCTCCTTGGCTGCAGCACCCAATTAAAGCCTTCTTCTCTGGCAATACTCATCTCTGTGATTGGCTTCCTGAGCGGCAAGCAGCAGGACCTAGACCAAACCCCTGATATTTTGGTAACACCAACCAGCCCAAATGAGAAAAAAAGATTTCCCGCTGGCCCTAACACCACCATGACAATTTAGATAAAATTAACAGGCTTCCTAAAGAACCCTATTAATTCAGCTGTTCTCAAAATGTTGGGCGCATACTACAATCAAAGCAAGAAAAAAAATAATAATTTTTTAAGCCCTATCCTAGACACAATGAATATGAAAGCCCCCTGGCAGTTTGAACCTCCCCATTATAGCTAGAGATCTTAAAATGTTAATCTCATTATGTCATTCCTTTAAAATGTTAAGATTTTCTTCAAGATAATGCCCCAAGCCTTGAATATCAAGTCTTTTATCTCTAGCTTTCATCTCTTTTAATTCATTCCCTCTTTGCCCAACCTTCTCAGTTCCCCTCAAAATGCTTGGCTTTGTCTTTACTCCAGGGCTTTATATATTCTGATCAGTCGCCCATCCCTTTACCAGCATCCAAACTCCTGTGCTTATCTCAGCTAATGGTTCACTTCCTTTGAGAGCCATCCCTTGACCCCATCCCTAAGACTCTATTATTTTCTGCATCTAGCACTTAATACAGAACATTGTGCTGTAATTGCTTGTTTACCAGCCTATAATGTATTCCCAACACATACTGAGTGAATGCTAAATACATATTAAGCAATCAATAAACAAGAAAGGTAACCACGTCTGGGGGACAGTGCAGTTAATTGTTCTTTACAGAACTCAAAATTAGGCTGGGTGCAGCAGCTCACGCCTGTAATCCCAGCACTTTGGGAGGCAGAGGCGGGCAGATCACGAGGTCAGGAGTTCGAGACTAACCTGGCCATATAGTGAAACACCATATCTCCTAAAAACACAAAAATTAGTCGGGCATGCTGATGCGCGCCTGTAGTCTCAGCTAGTAGGGAGCCTGAATCAGAAGAATCGCTTGAAACCAGGAGGAGGAGGCTGCAGTGAGCCAAGATCATGCCACTGCACTCCAGCCTGGGCAACAGAGTGAGACTACACCTCCAAAAAAAAAAAAAGAAAAAAAGAACTCAAAATTCTGGAGAAGTCCATGAGCCTCTCCCATTATTCTGACCATTGGTAAATGTATAAACCCTCCCCTCATTTTAAGAGCTTTACTAAAAATTTAGACATAAGCAGAATATAGCACAGCTACAAAGGCTAAGAAATCATACAGTTATAAAACAAAGAATATTTTGTGAAGACAATAAACTTGAAGTTCTGTTTAGGCTCAGGCTTCCTTTTATTCCTCAGAGTAGTTTATTTTAACTCGATCTCCAGTCATATATTTCCAATTGCTTTTGATGTCCACTTGCAGGTCTCTCAAAGTGTTTAACACACAACAGCTACAATACTGAAATCATCTTCTTGCTGCTCCTCCTATTTCTGCTAACTCACAGAATGGCAGTAGCCAAAAACAATATGGCCATTATAAGCAAGAGTCACCACACATTCAGGTCAAAAACCTTAGATTTATGTCGACAAAAAGAGTCAAACCCTGTAAAATATTTGAAGAGATTTGTTCTAGGATAGATTTATGCTGGAATAGAGAAGTTTAATTCTAAAAAGGGTGGTCAGCGGAAGCTTCATTGCTAAAGTATATGTGAGCAAAGATTTGAATGAGTGAGGCACCATTATATACAGTTAACTGGAGGAAGAGCATTTAAGACCAAATGAATAGTAGGTATAAAGTTGAGATCAAAGCTCTACCTTTGAGAAATAGCAAGGAGGCCTGTGTGGATCACCTAGCAGGTGAGAGGAAGACAAGATTAAACACAAGATAATAGGGTGGGCAAGGGGACAGATTGAGTAGGGCTTACAGATCCTAAGATTCCTTTTAAAAAGCATTTTAGCTTTTTACTCTGAGTGAAAACAAAGTCACAGACGGGTTTTGAGAAAAGGAATAAAAGATCACTCTGGCTACCTATTGGGACAGAATTGTGGGGGAGCAAAGGCAGAAGCAAGAAGTTCATTTGCGTAGCTACTGTGATAATCCAATTCCAGCACTTTAGGAGGCTGAGGTGGGCGGATCACTTGAGGTTAGGAGTTCACGACCAGCCTGGCCAACGTGGTGAAACCCTGTCTCTACTAAAAATACAAAAATTGGCCAGGT